CCTTCTATTGGGTTAATAAAAATATTTGAAATTTATTTATCTTGCTAATAACTTGTTATTATAGTTATACATTCTTTTTTGTTTTAGTTTTTTAAAAAAATATATTTTATTGATTTTGTACAGAGAGGAAGGGAGAGAGATAGTTAGAAACATCGATGATAGAGAGTCATCGATCAGCTGCCTCTTGCACACCCCCTTCTGGGGATGTGCCCGCAACCAAGGTACATGCCCTTGACCGAAATTGAACCTGGGACCTTTCAGTCCCCAAGCTGACGCTCTATCCATTGAGCCAAACCGGTTTTGGCTGTTTTAGTTTTTTTAAATAATTAATCTAGCAATTGAAACAGGTATCCTTGACAATCTAATAGAAAGTATTACTTTTCTACTTTCCCCGATAAGGTTGAGACCTTAGAACCTCGTCTTTGGCTTCATTCATTTCTGCTGAGTTGATTGTCAATCTGACTTTGTTTCTTTGTTCTGTAAAAGGCCCACGAAATTATATTGCCTGGTCCTGCCAAGGCATTTGACCAAATATAGTAGGCTAATTTTTAAGTTGATAGTTTTGTAGGACTACAAATGATGTTATAAATATCCAAACAGCCCTCGGTAGAAAAAAAGGTTCTCACCCCTGCATTACAAGTTGTATGTTCTTTTTTTCTCTGTCTGCTTTTAAGATATTTCTCCTCATCTTTGGTATCAGCAGTCTTATTATGCTCTGGCTTGTGTAGTTTTCTTTGTATTTATCTTCCTTTGTGTTTGCATAGCTTCTCGAAGATGGATTGAGAAGCGTCAGCAGTTTTAGACAATAAATGGCCATTATCTTTCTAAGTATTGCTTTCCCCGATTCAGTCTCTTCTCTTTTTATGATTCAATTATGTGCATATTGGACCATTTTACTGTGTCCCAGATTTCTCTCTCATTTCTATATTTTTCATTCTTTTTTCTGTGTTCTTTAACTTTCTAATGACCTGTCATCCAGTTCATAAACACAGTCTTTCTCATCTAATCTCTTGAGTTCTTTCTTTATAAAAAAAAAAAAAAATAAAATAAAATATATATTATATATATATATATTTTAAAGGTTTTTTTAAAATTAATATTTAGAGAGATCAAGAGAGAGAAGGGAAGGGAGATGGAGAGAGAAAAACATCGATATGAGAGCAGAACATCCATGGGCTGCCTCCTGTATATCCCCTACCAGGGATCGAGCCTGCAACCAGGACATGTGCTATGACCTGGAATTGAACCAGCAACCTTTAATTGCATGGGACACCACCCATCCAACCAGACAGGACATCTCTTGAGTTCTTACTTTCAGTTATTGTGTTTTCAGTTTTTAGAATTTCCATTTGATTCTTTTTAAAAAAATATATTTTCAAATCCTCTTGCTAATAAATTCTCTATTTTCCCATGTATTTTCTTCATCATTTTTTTCCTCTCATTTTGAACATATAAGTCATGGTTATTATTTTTTAAAATATATTTTATTGATTTTTTACAGAGAGGAAGGGAGAGAGATAGAGAGCTAGAAACGTCGATGAGAGAGAAACATCGACCAGCTGCCTCTTGCACACCCCCGGGGGTGTGCCCGCAACCAATGTACATGCCCTTGACCGGAATCGACCCTGGGACCTTTCAGTCTGCAGACGGACATTCTACCTCTGAGCCAAACCGGTTTCAGCAAGTCATGGTTATTTTAAAGTCCTCAGATAGCTCCTGGGTCTGGGTTATGTGTAGGTATGTTTCTTTTTTCTCTTTGTGTTTTTCTTTGCTACCTCCCCTCCCCCCCACCTCCCAGTTTGTTTTGAATCATATAGTCCTGTCACTTTTCATGCCTTGTAATTTTTACTGTAATGTCAGACATTACCTATTAAAACACTGAAGGCCGAAACCGGTTTGGCTCAGTGGTAGAGCTTCAGTATGCGGACTGAAAGGTCCCAGGTTCGATTCCGGTCAAGGGCATGTACATTGGTTGTGGGCACATCCCCGGTAGGGGGTGTGCAAGAGGCAGCTGGTCGATGTTTCTCTCTCATGGACGTTTCTAGCTCTCTATTCCTCTCTCCTCCTCTCTGTAAAAAATCAATAAAACATATAAATAAATAAATAAATAAATAAATAAATAAATAAATAAAACACTGCCAAGTTTCCAGGTGGTATTCCTTTTCTCTTCCAGGAAAACAGAGTTGAGGGTTGTCTCTAAATCAGTCAGAGATGACTGAGTCAGGGCGCCTCTGCAGTTTGGATATGGCTTCTCTTACCTATGGCTCTGCCCTGCTTTTAGATTCTGTGCCTCCCAGGGCTTTCAAATCTGGTCTGGTGTGATCACCAGGGCCCCTCCTCCGCTGGATCCTGAGCTCCGATCTTTTCTTCTTAGCACCCGAGACCATGGGAGACAACTCTTTGATTTTCAGAGGTTTTCTGCTTGAGTATTTAAATTTCTACTCATACCTTCTGAGCGTGGCACGTGTCTTAAGGGGAGAACTGGACATTTGTTTGGCTTCATTCTCTACAGCTTCTCTTGACCAAAGGCCCTGCAGCTTCCTCCATCCCTCAGCAACGGCTCCCTGCCTGGGAAGACTGCAGATTCCCAGCCTCTTGCCTGGTGACCGGAATGCAAATACGCTCCCAGGGAGAGTGCTGGGAATGTCAGGTCACCTCCTGCCCTGGCAGTCCTGTCTCCGGAATCTTGGCCTGCTACTCTGCATGGCTTCAGTAGCTCACTGACTCCTCAAAACAGATTTAAAATGTTTATTCAGCTTCTCTAGTTGCTCTTGATCCTTGGCCAGAGGTCCCCACCCTGTCCCCACAGAGAGGAGGCTGGGACACCGCTGAAAGGGGTCTTTGGGGCAGATTCTCCTGAGGGTTCTGATGACAGGAAGGGAGGGTGAGGCAGAAGATTCCCTTTCGGGCTCAGCCTGGGCAGCGGGGAGCTCAGGCAGTGTATGGCCTGGTCTTCAGCAGTGGCAGCTTTGGTGAAAGGATTTCCTTACCTTAGTGAGTCCCATGAACCACCTTTCCACCAGGTGGGGGTTGAAGCTCTGCACTGGTCCCAGCATCATGGGACATCCCTCATGTCTGTGACTGTGCTGTTGCCCACAAGTGACAATGATGCCGGGCCTCCCGTCCCCTTACCTCCCCAGAGCCTCCCAGGTGCCCCTTCTCTAGCCCTGCCCTGATCTGGGCACATGGGGACTTGACCACAGTCTACTATAATGTTGACCACAGTCACCCTTCCCTCGCTGGAATTCAAGACCTACTGGAGCCACCTGGTGACACCTGGTGCAGGACAAGGGCTGCTACCCATAGGAGCGCCTGCCCATCTCAGCCTGCCCCTCAGCCCACGGTTCTCTCTGGGTGCCTCAGTCGGGCACTGTCCTACCTGTAGGTCAGGCAGTGGGTGCCCTGGGGCCATGCCTCTGCAGGAGGAAGGATGGGGTGTCATGTGGGACCCCCTCATCAAGCCCAGAACTTGCTAACCCCTGAATCCCATCTCCGTGGCCTGGGACACTCCCACAGGGAAGACCTGGTCCCGCTTCCCCTCCTTTCTGGTCGAGTCTTGAGATGGGCACTGCTTTGTCCATTCACCTCTGACCTGTGGGCTTTGGCGCCCAGGTACTGTCCTCTCGAACTGCACAGACCTGGCGCAGACCCCACCAGAGGTCTGTGTCCTTAAGGGGAGTTGCTTCCTTAGTGGGAGTGAAGGTGACCTTCAAGTGGATGTGAAGGTCACCTTCACACTCACTGGGAGTGTCACAGAGCAGGCCGCACTGCCGCAGCTCACTCCCCAGCACCATCTCTGATTCATAGCTGTGGTAAATTTTCTTGCTGAGGATATTAATTATAAGGTATTTAAAAATATTTTTTTCTCTTTCTGCTGTGTGCCTTTTTTGTTTGTTCTAGTCTCTGCATTTCTTGCTGGAGGGTGTGGTCCCAGTCAGTTTCCCCAGCTCAGCACCCTGCCCTCTCCCATGACAGCCAGCACACTGGGTGCTCAGCAGTAACCGGAGTAGCTGGGTCCCACTGCTGGGCATTTGGGTGCAGTTCACACCTCTTTTTAGTATGGGCTTCACACCCACCCTCATCTGGTCCTCAGACCCCCATCCCTAGGATGGACAGAGCCTCTGGCGTCTGCCTGGTGGGGAAAGTGGTGGTGGTGGGGCACAGGATGGGGGTAGGGTTCTGGGGGCCTTCATTAGTCTGCTAGGGCTACTGTAACAAAGTACCACCAATGGTGTATCTTAGACAGCAAAAATTCATTGTCTCACAGTCTGGGGCCTGGAAGTCCAAGATCAAGGTATCTATAGGACTGGTTCCTCCTGAGGCTGGAGGGAGAATGGGTCCCAGGATTCCCAGATCCTGGTGGCTACTGTCAATCTTTGGTCTTTCTGGGCTTGTGGACACATCATCACTCTGCCTCTGTCTTCACAGGAATCCTCCCTGCAAGTGTCTGTGTCCAAATGTTCCTTATTATGAGGACACCAGTTATATCTGCAAGGACCCTAATTCCAAATAAGGCCGCATTCTGAGGTCCTGGGGGTTAGGGCTCCCACATGTGAGTTTGGAGGACTTAATTCAACCCACAACAGGTCTAATGTTCTCTCCAGTGACTTTCCATAAATGTGTGTTTTTGGTGCCGCCCAGACACTGGCCTTCAGGAGAACCTGGAGTCTTTCTGGGTCCCACAGCAAAGTGGCTGTTTCTTGTTAGGCTTCACGCATCCCATTGACTTCCATTTCTAAAATTCGTGGTGTTTTCCCCCTGCAGCTGCCCCTCCAATCCTGTCCTGTGGCCTGGGACTCGGTGCAGGTGTCACTCAGGATTTGGTGGGAAATGGGTTCAATTGCCAACCAGAGGTGGGCAGGTGCTTCTGTGGGTAGCAGCCCTTGTTCTGCCTTTTTAGCTGTTGTTTCCAGTTTATGTCTCCCTTTTTTCCCCAAGGTGTCTCCTGCTCTCACCGAGGCTCTTGCCACTGCCAGGAGTGACCCACGAAGGCTGCAGAGATGGCCGGGGCCTCAGTGAAGGTGGCGGTGCGCGTCCGCCCCTTCAATTCCCGGGAAATGAGCCGTGACTCCAAGTGCATCATCCAGATGTCCGGAAGCACCACCAGTGAGTATTGGCTGCGATGGGATAGTTGGCTGCCGCTGGTGCTAGGCTGCAGGTCCTGTCTCCAGGCCAGAGGTAGCAGCGGATCTGGCCTGGCTCGCTCCTTGTCTACATATGTGTAGGTTTCCTGGGGCTGCAGTAACAGATAACCACAAACTGTGTAGTTGAAAACAACAGAAATGCATTCTCTCACAGTTCTGAAGGCCAGGCTCCGAAATCAGGTGGTTGATGGGGCTGATGTATACATGTCATCATGTGGCCTCCTTATAGGGACAGCGATCAATGGATTTCACACCCACCCTACTCCACTGTGACCTCATCTTCACCACTAATCACATCTGCAAACACCTGTTTCCAAACATTCTGAGGATCAGGGAGGACGTGAATTTTAGGGGACACTGTTCCACCCGTGGTTACTGATTCCTTGTCTTGCTTCAGTGGCCCCAGGTTCATAAATGGTTTTCCTTTTTCTATGCTTTTGCTGTGTTTGTAATTGTAAATTATCTCAGAACCTTCCTAGAAGAAGTGGGAGGCCTGGAGTCATTATAGTGAGTAGGAGGGAGGGAGAGAGAGGCAAATTCAAGAAAGTCAGGAAGGCAGACATGCCCTGAGGGGTCCTTAGCACACAGGTCCAGCTGCTGGAGGGGGAGAGAGGATGCCTCCCATCCCCCCCTGGCTCCATTGTCAGACTCATTTGTAGTGAGTTGCTGCTTGGGTGCGGAGGTGGGTAGAGCTCACAGTCTGAGCAGAAACCCTCTTTGCCCATGTGGACACTGGTAGTTGCCTCTGTCAACTTGTGCAGTCTCAATGCCTAACTCATTTGCCATCACTGTTCTAGAATGTTCTAGGCTCCAAACAGAGCAGCACCGGACATGGAAGAGCACAGAAGGGAGCATGGCTGTGGCCCAGCAGGTGGACACACTCTGCAGGCCTCTGCATTAGAGAGTGGTTGGAGGCACATGATGTGGGAGGCTGGCAGGACCCTGGGCAGCAGGGCAGCCAAAGGCCCTGGGCAGCAACTTAGCCAAGGGCACAGGGACAGCAGCTAAAAGCCCGGGCCTGCTGTCAGTGGCTGGCCCCAGGCCGACGTGCCCTCGGCACTTCCTGATCGAACCATCTGGTATAGCTCGGAGGACGTGAGCTGCTTTCACCCTGGAGGCCAAGATGGGCTCTTCACTGGCAGAGGTCACAGAGGTGACCCACATTGCTGTCCCGGAAGCCCCACAGGAATGAGGACTGTCCGTTACAGCACAGGTGGGAAAACTGAGGCTCTGAGGTCGTGTCATCACACGTGACTGCGCAGGGAGGAGGAGGTGGCGATGGGCCCCTCACGTCATCAGCTTACATTTGCTGAGCTTGAGCTTGTGCCGGGCTGCACTCCAGGCACCGGATACTCGCTGCCCTCGAGCTGATGTTCGGTGGGGCGATGGATGATGCACGCCTGTGCACAATGAGACAGAACTAGACCTGCCCATGCCAGGGGTCCGCCCCCCCCCCACCAAAAGGGTCAGTGACAGGGCAGGGGGACTTGCTGAGGTGTGTGGGTCGTGTGGGACAAATTAGATAAACAGAAAGGAGGCTTCCTCGTCAAAGGATGGGAGGGTCTCCTGTGCTGACAGGCAAGTGCCTGGGTTTGAGCTAAAGCTTCGCTGGAACCCTGCTGAGGTTTTGGTCTCTGCTTCAGCTAGGCTACCTCCCAAATCCTGCGAGTCTGGGGCACTGACCTTCTGGTAAAACAGCATCCATCTCTCTCTTTCTCTCCTTCTCTAGCTCACACGCACCTGTTTCCCAGTTTCTGTCCTGTGAACACTCCCCATAGCCAGTTTAAAGCCACCTAGGGTTTAACGACAGGCACACAGATTCCGAGCATTGGACACTGCTGTGCTGGAGGTGCCGGCCCCTCTGCCTGGGTGCAGCTGAAAACTACAGGGCTGCAGGCAGAGACAGTGGCTGCCATTGACTCCTTTCCTCTTGGTCTCGCCTCCCTGCTCAAGCTGGCATCTCCACAGCTCGTGTCTTTGCCCCGGGCCCCTCTGTTGGCTCCTGCAGAGCCTGGGCAGGGGTGGAGGGGCATGGGGCATTTCAGTGAGCTGTCCCTGAACCACCTGCCCAGTGTGCCCTGGAGGGTGTTCTCCTTCCTCTCTCCTCAAACGTGCACAAGGAGAACCTCCAGCAAAACTGCTCCTCTCTGCGTGCAGCAGGCTAAGGGCGGTGTCTGTCTGTACGGCCCGGCCTTGGCAGATCACCCTGGTGAGGGCTGAGGGGTGACAGTAAGAGTCAGGTCTGGGGTGGACCCTGGGCTCCAGTCTGGCTGTGTGCCCTGTGGCCCGAGGAGGGCACATCCCCTCTGACCTCAGAATCTGTAATGATAGAGGGCATTTCTCAGACACCACAGGACCTCCAGGGGGTCAGCCATACCAAGGGACCCGGCAGGGGGGTGGGGGCAGGTCCCGAGGGCCAGAGCAGCTCTGCCCAGTGGTCTCCACGGCAAGCTCTCCTCAGCTCGTATCCCTCCCTCTGACCTGTCTGTTGGCTACCCCAGCCCACTCACAGTTCCTTGAGCACACCTGTGCCCTGGTGCGGGCTCCCTCCTCAGGAAGCTCATGGTCCATGTGGGTGTATACAAACATGCTAGCACCAGGACACCATCAGAGCAAGGTCAGTGCCTGGGAATGGAGCCAGGCTGCTCAGAGAGCCGGTGTGGGGGCCAGCCAGGGATGGAAGAGCAAGACGGGGCTTGGGCCTGTCCTGGGAACTTGACCCATAGGCAGGGAGGGGAGGAGATGAGGTCATGGAGGTGAGGCATTGTGGGGTGAGCTAGGGGACCTGGCCACTTGCTGCCAGGGGACCCAGTGGAGGCGCAGCCCAGGCTGCCCTTGTCAAGAGGGCTGGTGATTGTTGTTTCTATGGCGCCCGCATTATCTGCACTGGGATTATAGTAGCCGAGTCCCCAGGTCTCAGGAGTTGAAGCCAGGGCAGCTGCTCTCCTTTGGGCCTGGCTCCTGGAGGCAGCATGGATGTGACTCCCTCTTCTCTGAGAGGACAGGGATGTGATGGTCAGTCACCTTCTCCTTCTTGTAGCTTCCCAAGGGCACTAGGTCATTTCCCAGAAGTCCTCAGGTCTGGGGTCTGGAGCCCAAAGCCAGGTCAGCCCTGGGGATGGGGCTTCATTTGACACCTGTGCTGTGAGCAGGACATTCAGCCAGGACAAATGGCCAAGGGGTCTGCCCAGGAACCGGGCCTGGGGCAGCTGCAGGAGCCTGGCAAGGCTGATGGGAGCTGTTGGCTTTCCAGGGCTGCCCTGCAAAGTACCACACGGGGCTTGGACGTCAGGCCTAGAGGCTGGAAGTGCGAGCTTAAGTGTGGGCGGGTGGGTTTCCTCAGAGGCTGTGAGGGAGAATCTGCTCCCTGCCTCTCCGGCTCTGGCGGCTACTGCAGTCCTTGCGGTACCTGGTGTGTAGCCTCATCACTGCATCCCTGTTCCCTGTGTGCATGTCTGTGCCAAATGTCCCCTTTTATAAGGAAACAGTCATGTTGGATTAGGGCCATCTGACTCCAGTATGACCTCATCTTAACCAGTTAATCTGCAAGGGCCCCACCTCCAAATAAGGTTATTGTGAGGTCCTGGGTCAGGACTTCCACATATGAATGTGAGGGGGCTGCTTCTCTTGATGCTGGTGGCAGGTCATCTGGTGGGGCAAGCGGTGTGGGGTCCTGAAGGCTGTGCCGAGCCCAGGAAAGCGAGGGCCCCAGCCAGTTGTCTCTGGGGAGAACCAGTTGATGGGTCAGCAACCATGGCTTCCATCCCTAAACACGGGGGTGGGGGACTGGCCTCCCAGAGGTGCCTGGAGCCTTGCTGACTGGGACTAGTCCAAGGTCCTGGTGGATATGAAAACCAGGGAGGGATCTGCCTCCAGCTGGGTGGGACTTCAGGGAGTCTAAAGGTCCTCTGTCAACACGGACATTTTGGGTTCAGACAGTTGGCAGCCGGCAGGGTGGCCTGATTGGATTTGGGGCCAAGGTCCCTCCTGCCTCTGAGGACCCACTGCCTGCTGGGTTCGGAGCCTGGGAAACCCTGAGGACTGGGCCTCACAGACCTGGGGCCAGGCAGCCTTGGACTGGGGGAGGGGTCTCCTGGAACATTTGGCAGGCGCCAGGGTGAGTGATCACTTCATCTCGAGTTTGTGGCTTTTTTCCTAGCTTGATGAACTGATGTTCAGTGACTTGAGAGTAAGGCCTCGGCTGGGCCAGGGTGCAGCTCGGTGATGGGGGAGGGAGGGTCCTGTGAGGGGACAGTCCTTAGCCATGAGCACATACCTGGAAAGGACCTGAAGGGGCACTGATGGGAAAAGAATAAGTCGGGTCCCTGCGAGGGGGCAGCCAGCACTCCAGGGCACACAGTGCAGACACAGCACAGGGCTAACCACCGCACCTGTCCCCCTCCCTGCAGCCATCGTTAACCCCAAACAGCCCAAGGAGACGCCCAAAAGCTTCAGCTTCGACTACTCCTACTGGTCGCACACCTCGGTAAGCCCGGGTGGGGGGGTGCAGGGGAGGGGGCCACAGCTGTGTGGACACCGCCCACACCCAGTTCCTCATCTTCCCTGACCCGCTTGTTCCTCTCTAAATGAGGCGATGACCACATTTCTTCCTGCCCTGGAGGTTCCCGGGCATGATGTGGGCCCTCGGGGAACATAGTAGGCTGAGCCCTCAGCGCCCCCGACTCCTGCAACTGTGGCCCCTCTTGCCCTGCAGCCCGAGGACATCAACTATGCGTCGCAGAAGCAGGTGTACCAGGACATCGGCGAGGAGATGCTGCAGCACGCCTTTGAGGGCTACAACGTCTGCATCTTCGCCTACGGCCAGACTGGGGCCGGCAAGTCCTATACCATGATGGGCAAGCAGGAGAAGGACCAGCAGGGCATCATCCCGCAGGTATGTGGGGCAGGGAGGACACAGGCGCTGGGGTGGCAGGACCCAGTGATGGCAGGGACACAGGGCAGCAGAGGCAGCTGGGAGACCCTCTGGTGGAAGTGACCCTCCCCTGGGGGCTGTGAGGATGGATGGGCTGGGCAGGGAAAGGTGCCCAGGTTAACTGAAACCTGAGATGCAGATGCCTGATACTGCTGGGACCCTCCCTGGCCCAGCCCCCTGGGTCTGAGCTGGTCAGTGCTTGACCTGGTCAGGGCAGCAGAGAACACTGGGTGGTCTGTAGCATGGCAGGTCCCCCAGCCAATGCAGACAAGGACGGCAGGAGGAGCAGGCCAGTGTGAGCAGATGATACGTGAGAAAAGGTACCGAGTTAAGCAGAAGACAGCAGCTCATTTGCCTTGCAGACCTTCTCCGTACCTTTAAGATGAACTGTGAGGGTGTAAGAGGGGCCCGGAGAACAACGGTGATCCTGGGCACAGGCAACCCATAGCACCTTGGGGGGCAGGGCCTTCATCCTCTGACCATGTCTTGGGTTTCTACAGCTTTGTGAGGACCTGTTTTCCCGCATCAATGACACGACCAACGACAACATGTCCTACTCCGTGGAGGTAGGGGTCCCCTGCCCAGCATCCTGGTCCTCTGGGCAGGACTGAAGTTGTAGGCATGGATAGCGATGCTTTTCTGGTGTAGAGTGTGTCCCCATCACTGGTGTGTGCCCTTAGCTTGTCACTCGCTTGTACATGCGGCAACCATGCCACCACATGCACTCAGGACACAGAAGTGCAGGGCGCAGAGGTACGAGGGGCAGTCCTCTACTCAGCTGGTGTGCAATGAGCCGCTGCTCTGGGCTGGGCTCAGGGACAGGTGCCTCAGAGCTGCATAGCCTGGGCCTTACTGTGGCTGTGGCCCCAGAGTGAGCCCCAGGATGGCTGTGGGTGAGGAGGGCCAGGCAGGCGGGGCTGGACTGACACCCCCAATGCGCACACTCACACTGGGAGTTGGATTCCTTCGCCCACCTCTCCTATCCAGTGGGCGGTACCCACACTCCCTACCCCCAGAGTCTTTAAAGGTGGCCCCTGCACTCCCTCCTCAGGGTTCCTGGGTAGTGACCCCCACATCTCCTATTACCCGCCTCCTCAGGAGCCCCTGACAACAGCCCCTCCTCCCATCTTGAGTGTTTCTGATAACTGTCCCCACACTCATCTTTGGGGTTTCTGATGGTGGCCCCCACACAAGTGTCTCTGCCCTGCAGGTCAGCTACATGGAGATCTACTGTGAGCGTGTCCGCGACCTCCTGAACCCCAAGAACAAGGGCAACCTGCGTGTGAGGGAGCACCCGCTGCTGGGGCCGTACGTGGAGGACCTCTCCAAGCTGGCCGTCACCTCCTACAATGACATCCAGGACCTCATGGACTCAGGGAACAAGGCCAGGTGTGAGGGGGTGACTCACCCACGCTCTCTGCCCTCCAACCCCCACTGTGCCCGCAGCTTCCCGACTCTGTGGGGAAGGCTGGTCCCTGGGCACCTGCGTCTTCCCTGAGGAGGGCCCGCAGCTCCCTGCACAGGGGGACACTGTTACCTACAGGTGGGCTGCTCCTCCCGGGGCTGCTGCCCCAGGTGGTCTCCCCTACAGGCAGCTGGCCTGCTGGGCCCAGTGACCACGAGACTGAGGTCTGGCCACCTGCCCTGAGGGTAAATGGGTCCCGTGGATAGAGCTCTGGACAGGAGCTCATGGGGAAGTGTCAGCTGTAAGCAGTCCATCTTCCTGGGCTTCACTGCCTGGTTGTCATGACAACAGTCCCCCTCTACCACCCAGGGACTTCTGGAGGGTTAGGGTTCCCTGTGTGGGTCACCACCACCCCTCATTTGTGGTCCTGTGGGGTCGCTGTTCTGACGAGGCCCCTCGTGCTGTGGGCTGTCAGACAGGGAGCCTATCGGGGGACACTTCCCTGAGGTCTCTGCCTATCGGTGGCTGTGGGGCCTTCCCACATCACAGTCGTGAGGGCTCCTGCCAAGCTTGTAGAGTGAGCAATACTTGGCTCTGCTGAGCGCCCGGGAGCAGAGAAATACCCCCAGTCACAGCACCCCAAGTACCAGGTTGGAGCTGGGGGCTCAGGGTCCCATGATGGACATGGTGGACAGGGGTGTGTGTGCCACAACCCTCGGGGCGGGTTCTGGATAATTTGAAGGAGAGCTGATGACACAATAAATACACTATACAAAAAAATACGAATTTAGAAGGTATTGGGGGACTAGGTGGAACCTCTTTAGTGAAGAATAACACCAAGCTGGGTCCTGTTCCTTTTTATTCACTTTGAATACACATTTGCCCTTTAGAAATGTCTCCAGGCAGATCACAGGTAAGTTTGGTATACAGTGTAAATGTTATCGAGTCAGGAAAAAGCCTGGAGCCATTGCAGTCACCACAGGGCAGTTGTGTTGATACTCAGCCCTGCTGAATGTGTCTTTTTTGATGCCAAATGCTATTTGCTTTAGCCTCTGGCATGTGTGGGCCCTATTGCTCTGATAGGAGGCATGGCCACCAGTGGGGCAGCTCTGAGAACCCAGGGGAGCTGATACCCCATGACCTGGCCCAGCGGACTGGCACCACTGGCGACCCGAATGTCCAACCGCAGGATGGCAGGTAACCACAAAGTGGCTTCTGTTCCCTCAGGACGGTGGCAGCCACGAACATGAATGAGACCAGCAGCCGCTCCCACGCTGTCTTCAACATCATCTTCACTCAGAAGCGCCACGATGCGGAGACCGACATCACCACGGAGAAAGTGAGCATGGCCTTGGCGGTGGCTCCATCAGGCAGGCGGTGGGGTCCGGCCAGTCAGGCAGGATGAGGAGGCCAAGCCACACACTGGCCTGGGAGGCGTGGGCAGCGACCTCACCCCGGGAACCGGGCACTTCCACCCCTTGGTGAGAGGATGGCCACCTCATCTGGGCGTTTGGTGCCACCTGGGTGTGCAAGGGACTTAGGGTGGAGGGGCCACGGGGCCTCTTACCAGATGGTTTTGGTGGAGACTGGGGGCTGGGAAGGAATCTCCCCAGAACTGCACCCCAGCATAGCCCCACAGGCCCAGGAAGCCTGTGCAACCCGTGGAGGCAGCAGTGAAGGCCAGGAGGTCTCAGCTTGAGTGAGTGCCTGTCACAGAGGTGACCGTGGGCACCGGCATCTTCGAGCACAAAGGAGAGGCTGTGCTGAGCGGGCACCATCCTGCCCCGCTGCCCACAGCCCTAAATGCCTTTCCCACATGCCTTTCCCACATGCCTTGGCATGCTTCATGGATCCTCTTCTGAGGCCTCTGTCCCATCAGACATCTATGGGCTCCAGAAAGGGGCAGCAGCGCCAGTGCCAAGTCTGTTCACGTCCACCAGTAGCTGTGCCCTACAGCGCTGGGTTTCCTCTGACTGTGCGTCTCCCCCACCCCCACATCCAGGCCTTCTTCAAGGAACCTCAGCCACTTCCTGGAGGGCCGGCTCTCTCAGGCAGCACCCATAATCCACAGAGGGTCAGGGAAGTTAGCACCACTTAGACCTGGTGGTGCTGGGGTCATCCCAGCCAGGCACTATCCTCCAGGAGGCTTATGACAGCCCAGTGGGGCCTGGAGGACAGGGACTGTCAGCCTGGTTGCAGGGTACCAACAGGGTCCTATTGATGTCTGTGCCTATTGACATCTTGGCGAGTTGCCCTCAGTAGCCATGCTCAAGAGGACCTTGGCCTCCTCTGAATGCAGGTGACCACCTGCCCTAGGCCAGGGAAGTGTACTGGGGCTCCCTGCACCGGGCACGAGGAATTCAAGCAGTGGCTGGGGCTCTGGAACCGGATTTAAATCCCAGCATAGGCAAAGCTCCTGTCTGTGGAAATGGGCGATAGTGAGGGACCCACCTCATGGGTGCTGTGAGGAGTCCACGCACAAACATGTGAAGGGCGTTGAGTATGCCGAAAACAGTGTGGCCTCAACTCTGGTGCTCCGGGGGCAAGGGGAGGGGTGTGTGAGCCTGGGGGCGGGGGGCGGCTGCAGCCTGTGAGGTGAGATGGCCTCGAACCTCAGGCAGTGTCAGAAGAGCTGTGAACAGAGGTGCAGAGGGAACGCAGGGCTACAGACTTTCAGACCCCAGGGTGGGCTTGGCTGTGGCTTGCGGGTGGGCCCTTTGGGCGGTGCCCAGAGAGGAAGGATGCCCCCTGGCAGCCTCATGGCATCTTCTGCAGTTGACACATTTGCCTTTTCAGGTGAGCAAAATCAGCCTAGTGGACTTGGCTGGGAGTGAGCGCGCTGACTCCACAGGAGCGAAGGGCACGCGGCTCAAGGTAGGGGCCCAACCGCCATGCCCAGGGGGAGCAGTGGGTCCCCTCCTACCCGACTCAAAGGCGGGGTGGTGTCTTCAATCCTGGCTTGTTCCCGGTGGGCCAGGCACGAGGGCTCAGCTCCTCTGGGGGTTGGAGGGTGAGCCTGGGTGGAGGGCACAGGTGAGGAGATCGGAGAAGGTCAGCAGGCAGACGACCTGGCAGGAGAGTTCCACAGCACCTCGCTTTCCCACTGGGAGAACACAGGCTGCGAGGCAGCTGCGGGAGGGGCAGTGAGCTGGCCGGCCGTTGTCCTGAGGAGATACCTTCCGGTCAGGCAGTCTTGAGTGCCAGGAAAGAGAGTGTTTGTTTTCCTGAGTCCCCCTTTGGTCTCCACTGGTACCTGATGGATGGGATGGGGCCCCAGAAATTTTTCCAGGTGGGGCACATGTGAGGTGTTCCTAGGATTTCTAGGAAGCCCAGGAGAAAGCCCTGGCCAAACTGCACTCCCTGCCCGGCCAGGTGGGCCTCTGATGGGCCTCCTGCCAGCGGCTCCCATACCCCCTAAAAGCCTAAAGGGTCAACAGTCCTGGCCAATGGTCTCAGCCCACCCCACATGGGTCAGGCCCCAGGCTCTCGAAGCTTCCTAATGACCCGACCATCTTCTCCACACACAGGAGGGAGCCAATATCAACAAGTCCTTGACTACACTGGGCAAGGTCATCTCTGCTCTGGCTGAAATGGTGAGCTGGCTCGGGCTTCTAGGACTAGGTTGATGGGACAGGCCATGGAGGGGCTGCCCTGTCCTGCTTTCCTTGGGGGATGCTGGGAGCCAGTCAGGGTTCTGGGGAAAGCCCAGAGATATGGGTGGGGCATCACTAGACTACAGATAGAGTCACTTCCTGAAGCGTCAGTGTCCCCACCTGTAAAATTGGGGTGAGCTGTATTCCTCCCAGGGCCCTTCGGAGGGTAGCCATGAGCTTTGGTGAGCTTGTTGGCTGGCGTCCTTCTGGGAGGGCAGGGCTGTGTCAGCTCTGACCTCAGTTAGCCCAACCCAGGCCATTCTCCAGGAGGGAGCCCATGGCCCTTGAGGTGAGGGACTGGGTTTGATGGGCCCCACGGGGCAGGCAGTATCGCCCACTCACTAAGACACCCAGGCCTTCAGCCAGGGATGGACAAATCTCCGGAGACCCTGGCCACCTCTGGAATGGTTGGTGGAGGGATGGGCTGATGGGTGGCAACAGCCTGAGAGGCTGCACTATCGTTTGGTCTGACTCTCAGACCCAGCTCAGGGTGGCCAGCAATGGCCAGGCGTTGAGTGATGAACACCCGGCATGTGCTCAGGCCTTTCCTGCTCCTTTGCTGTCTGGAGCCAGCCTGTCCCCCTCTCCTCGCACACCCTGGGGCCCCAGCCTCGCTTCAGGTCCTCAGGCTCTTTCTGTCTTTTCCTTTTCAGGACTCTGGACCCAATAAGGTGAGCTGCTTGCTTCAGTTCCGGGGAGAGGTGTCTTCAGTTCTTGAAGGGGAGGGGCTAGAAGCAAACAGTGCCCTTAGCTCAGGCTACCCTCACAAAGGTTGCGGCAGTAGAATTCACCCCTTCATTTGTGCACTTCACCCATCTCTGAGCTAGGAGAGCAGCACAGGCCTTCTGGGGCCGGAGCAGTGCAGGAGGCAGATAATAGAAACACAAAAGTGAAAACACAGGGGCGGGCAATAGTAGGTTTATAGTTGTGAGTGTGTGAAACAGTCACTAAAGCTATCGTAATAGTCATAACCTGCATGTTTTTTTCTATACGGACAACTGTGTTGGCTTTCTAGGTGTAAGATGGTGCAGGCTGGGAAGGCCGGGGAGAGGAAGGGTGGTGGGTGGTTCTTGGAGTTGCTGAGCATGGCAGAACAGGGGCCGCTGGTGGGTGGAGGGGCACTGGCCTGGTGGGTGGAGGGGCACTGGTGAGGAAGCAGCAAAAACCAAAGGTGAAGTAACTGAATGATTGTAGAACATCTACTGTGGCAACAAGGACAAATGTGGCAGAGATTCAGCCCCAGGAATTACATAAGTAAAGGGAAGTAGGAATGGAGTTTTTCACCCACCAAGTTTCCAAAGGAGAAAAAGGAAGCCCCAAGTACTGACGGCTTGGAGTTCAGACCCGGCTCACAGAGCTGGCCCAGCGCTTCTGAAACCCTGTGACAGCGTGTATCCAGCTTTTGCCCTTTGTCCCTGAGCTCCGTGGAGCTCCTCTTGGGGATCATCCTGAAAAGCAAAGACGAATGTGTTGGCCCCAGAGAAATGGCCTGACCCCTTGCAGGGGCACCTGTGTGTGTCCATGGGAGGGGTTTGGGGGCAGGGGCTGTGTCCGCTGGCTATGATGGGGGCTCCACAAATACTTTTCAAAAATCCTCTCCCAAGGATATTTTTCCATTGATTTTTAGAAAGTGGAAGGGAGGGAGAAGGGATGGGGGAATAGAGACAGAGAGAGAGAAAAACATCAATGTGAGGGAGACACATCAATTGGTTGCTTCCTGCACATGCCCTGACCGGGACCAGGGACTGAGCCTGCAACCGAGTGCTCTGGACTGGGAATTGAACCCAAGACTCTTTGGTCCAAGGGCCGATGCTCTAACCACTGAGTAAACCAGCTAGGGCCACAAATACTTCTGAAGCCGCTGTGCACATGAAGAGCCGACACTGGAAAGTAACTGTGATTAGTGGAGTCGCTACGTCAGTCACGGCGGGTCCACCAAAGTGATTCTCGCAGCTGTTATAAAGGCTGGAGTCCATATTTTGAGTGGCTTTGCCTTACTAGAGGAATAAGACCCCTAGAGTAGACAGTGTGGAGGGGGCTTCTTTCACGGGAGGGAGGGGACAGGTATGAAAGCAGGGCTTGCAATCTGGCTTCTGAAGGGAGGGGGGAAGCGTGATGGAAGGTGAGTGCTGTGTGGAAGGGAGCGGTCAGCCGTGGGGCTGGCGGAAGCCGGAATGCCACACTTCGCAGGGGGCCTTTTATTACAATCAGCAGAGCCACTGTGGTGTTTGAGGAGGGGGCTCAGAGGGGCCCTTCTGACAGGGAGGAGGGCGATACACCAGCCGTGACATCAGCACGCCTGGGCTCAGGTCCGGCTGTGCGACCCAGACACGGTGGGGATGACAAGGGAGGGACCCGAGGGAAATGCAGCAAGTCGCTGATTCTCACTCTGGCAGAGGTGCCTGGCGGGCACCCTGGGTCCAGGTGTGGAGAAGCCTTAGAGCTGGCCCAGCCCTGCCCCCCAACCGCAGCCTTGGCTTTGGGGACCACCCTGTGCTTGCCCCTCCTCCTCCATGAGCTCAGGGTTGACCTTGAATGTTCCTCCCGCACAGAACAAGAAAAAGAAGAAGACAGATTTCATTCCGTACCGAGATTCTGTGCTGACCTGGCTCCTCAGGGAAAACCTGGGTAAGGACTCGAGGGTTCTAACTCCCAGCCTGGCCTACTGCCCCGTCTTCCTGCCTGGAGGGGTGCCCAGCCACCAGGAGGCCTAGGACCTTTCTGGCCCACGACTGAGGTGAAGCTGGGGGGCCTGAGACAGTGGCCAAAGGAAGGTTATTGACAGCAAAGGTGGGGAACCAGGATGGTCCACGGGCCACAGAACCCACCCACAGGTTCAGGCCAGTGACACCCAGACCAAGTACTCACTCCTCTCTGGGTCTTGGTTTCCCCTTCTATGACAGGGATCTGGGACTCTGCTTGCTGGGTTTGGAGAGCTGTCATAAATCACCCCTTTTCCTGTCTGCCTGAGTTCGTAACCAGCAGCGATTGATGGGGAGAGGGAGACTCAAATGCCTCTCACCCAAATATAAACTCAGGGGTCCTTCCCAGCTGGGGAGGCTGATGCCAGGGAGATGGACTGAGTCTTGGGCTGGCCTGATGAACATGACAGCGGGATCCCCGGCCTCTCTCGGCTGCATCCTAGAGCCCCTCTGTGCTCACCCAGTTGGCCTAGGATTTTGTGTACCTCTCTGAGCCCAGCCTCCCCAACTGTAAATGGAGGAGGGGACGGCGGTGGGGAGAACAAGGCAGTGGGCTGGCCTTCTGCACGGCCTGGTCTTTTTTCCACAGGTGGGAACTCGAGGACAGCGATGGTGGCAGCCCTGAGCCCCGCAGACATCAACTACGACGAGACCCTGAGCACGCTGAGGTGTGTTCTTGAGGGAGGTGGGCCCTGTGCCCCAACAGGCTCGGGTGGGAGTGGTCCCTCCCTGCCCAAGTCAGGAACACCTGTGAGAGGGATGCCACTTGGGGAGGTTCATTTCACCTGGGGAGGTTCATTTCACACTCCTTGTAGCTCCCATAGCTATCAGGGGTGCTTGGGTCTTCATGGGACCTGTTCCATTCCCATGACCCTTTGGGGTATACTTTGGGGCTGCAAGTGGCCAAGGTCCCCTGTGCAAACGACTGGGAGAGCTGTGCTTGTGGGCTGAGCAGCTTGCAGCCTCTATCAGTCAGGGGAGCCTTTATTAGCACAGGGGTGAAGGTGTGTCTTAAAGGTCCCTCTGGCTGCAGGCGGGTGCCCTTGTCAGGAGAGCCCGGGCTCCTGCTCTGAAGGAAGCTGCCTAGCAGCCAGGTCAGCATCTCAGGTCCTTATGACTGAGCACCACTGGTAGCAAAGAGAAAAAGGACACGGGGACACACTCCTATCTGTACCTCGTGTGCATTTGCTGTGCAAGGCTCAGGCTCAGACAGGCAAACACGCGGATGTTCTCACGTCCCCCACGGGCTCCCTCCACCCTGGAACCCAGGCCTTCCCCAGGGAGAAGATGCCACCCCATCCCTTCTCTTCCTGGGGCCTAGGTTTCCCTAAGTGGGTGAGCCAGGGCAGGGTGACCCCACATGTAGGTCTCTGGAAATGGCCCCAGTGACTCCCAGTGGGGTGACTCCTTGCTCTGCCCAAGCCCCAGGCCCTTGCTCTTCCCCTCCTCCCATCCCCCAACCCTTGGGCCTGCGGGCACGGGCACAGCCCACAGCTCCCTCTGCTGCCCAGGTACGCGGACCGGGCTAAGCAGATCCGCTGTAATGCCGTCATCAATGAGGACCCCAACAACAAACTGATCCGTGAGCTGAAGGATGAGGTGACTCGGCTGCGGGACCTGCTGTACGCCCAGGGTCTTGGGGACATCACCGACAGTGAGTGTCTGTGTCCGCCTCCTGGGCCAGCCTGGCCTCCCTTCTGGGATTCCCTCCCGGACTGGGGTGGGTCAGGCTGCCATCAAGATCCCTCTGACCCGGTCCCAGCCCCTGCCTTGTTCCTGCAGAGCTGCCCTGGGTGGGAGGCCTGGGTTCTGGCCTTGGCCTGGGGGAATTGCATGGTTTGGGTTTGATGCTGGTCCAAGCAGGCCAGAGATGGTCTCCCCAGAAACCATGTTGGCATGCCACAGGTGCTGGGGTCCCCGTGTCCCCGCTGAAGACCAGTGCTGCCTGCTTGATGCCCGGCCTGGGACGGGCAGCCCTGGACTCTCAAAACAAACCTGTTCTTCTGTTTCTCTGTCTCTCCTCTCTCCCCCACGCCTCCGCTCCCCCTTAGCCAACACTGGAGGACCCAAATGTGTGTATCCCCTTGCTGCTCTCTGTGCATCCCTGCTTCTGCCACCTGCCCAAAGGGTGTGGGGCAGCCCAGGGGAGGGGCGAGGCCCAGGGACAGCAGGGAGGGGCCAGCTCACCCCCTCTTTAGGGGCTGGGACAACAGCCCTCTCACAGGTGCCCTGCTGGTAGATTTGGGGTCATATCCCTGTGTACATAAAGCTCCAGGGAGGCAAGGGGCTGCAGACTAAAAATGTCTGGGCTCAGGCTCCTGGCCCCCATGTGCCCTCAGAGTCCTGGGGAGTACGAGTGTCAGTGCCAGAGGCCCGGACCGTCCCTGGCTCCTGGCCCTGACTTCCCTCGGGCCCTTCATGCCCCAAGGCCCTTTTCCCCTGGAAACGCCAAGAGTCTGGTTGCTGCCAGATCCTCCCAGCCTGTGCTGTGACCCCTGATGGCCTTGGGCCTGGCCCCCTGAGCAAGGGCACAGTTCAGTGCCTCCCAACCCCAAAGATGGAAGGGCTCTCGGCTTCCCCGGTACCCTGTGCTGTCCCGTTTGCTGCTGCTTTGCTCCACGTCTGCTTCTGCCAGTAGAGGCCTAGGGGTGTCAGCACCAACTCTGGGGCCTTCGGGGCCCTGGGGGGGCTCCATCTCGGGTATAGAGGAGTAGGGGCTTTCTGAAGGGTCCCACAGTCCCCCTCCCCTCCAGGGGTGGACAGCACAGCTTGATTCCGAAGCTCAGAGATGCATTGTGGGCCAGGTGAGGGGTGGGCGGAGGGGATGCCCACAGCAGAAAGGATGAGCATTAGTGTCAGGGCCCAGTGACCATGAAGGGAGGTGGACAGGGTGGGAGATGCAGGGGGCACTGGAGGAGCCATGGAGCTCACGCAGCGCAGGTTCAGAGGCTGCAAGGCAGCCTGAGTGGCTCGGGTTTGGCATGCAGGTTCAGGGAAAGCAGAGAGGCCTTGACCCAGGGCTGGGAGTGGAGCGAGGGGTTCTGGGGTGGTGCTGTGCTGCTGGGGGATGGGGTAGGTTGGGGAGGGGCGGGGCCCATCGTGTGGGGTGACAGGTGGCCTTGCATGTGTTGCCCAGCGCCTGGCAGCTGCGCCTCACTAATAGTTTCTGTCTTCTCTTCACCCACCTCCCAACTCGTGTCTCTTTTCTCTTCCTCCCGTCTGTCTACCCCCTCTCCTTCCCTTCCTCCCGTAGACCTGTCCGACCTTGACAACAATTACCGTAACTGTGGCTGGGCGGAGTTGAGTCAAGCCCCTGACAATCTCTCCACAGTTACCAACGCCCTGGTGGGCATGAGCCCCTCATCCTCGCTCTCGGCCCTGTCCAGCCGCGCGGCCTCTGTATCCAGTCTGCACGAGCGCCTCTTGTTTGCCCCGGGCAGTGAGGAGGCCATCGAAAGGCTGAAGGTGAGGGCGGGGCCAGAGTGGGCACCAGGCCCTGGGAAACTGAGCTTGGAGCCGTGGGCTTGTTAAAGGCAGGAGGTGAGGCAGTGCCCGGGCACCCCCTCCATATGTCACTGCTCTCCACCCAACACCACGGGACCCTACTTGCTGACAAAGGTGGTGGGTGTCCTGGGGGTTCTGCCTCCCCTCTTGGGTGTTCTGTGCTTGCGAGCCTTTGCCTTCTGGTCCCTTTGTGTCCTCAGTCACTCCCTCTCCCCCTGCCATGAGCTAGGCTGGTTTTAGGTTTTCCTGGGTGCAGGCTGAGCCCAGACCTTGGAGATTGAAGGGTTTAGGGTTCAAAAGCACAGAGGCCAGACTCCAGGCTGGGGTGGGGCAGTATGGGGCGGGGCATAGGCCCACATGGGGTGGGGGCCCACCTGGGTGTGGGGCCCACCAGGGTGGGGGGCTGGAAGCAAACAGGAAGTGTTGATAGCATCTGTGCATCAGAACCAGCCTCACGTCTCTCCCTCCTGGGTGACTGCTTTTTACTCGTTCCCTGGGCGTGTCCAGAGGAAAGCACATAGTTTTGAGCTCACACTATCCCTCAGCCCTGGATCCTTCAGAAATCAAGCTTCCAGCGTGGACCGGGCATTGGGGTCTTGGTGCTCTGCAGACCTGCTCGTCTTCCCTCTGCCTGGCCCCTGACCTGGCTCTGCTCTGTGTCGTCCCCCAGGAGACAGAGAAGATCATAGCCGAACTCAACGAGACCTGGGAGGAAAAGCTTCGGCGGACGGAAGCCATCCGGATGGAGAGGTGGGTGGTGGGGACACGGCCAGCACAGCCCTGCGCTCCAGCCCTGGGCTCTGACAGACCCATCCTCTCTCACCTGGTGACCCCCACCTCCTGTCACTGTGGTCCCACGGACCTGGTCCCTGGTCAGGTGATCTGTACCTCCAAGCAGACACCTTAGCTCTTTGACCACATGGGTCACTGTCTGGGCTCTGCCTTGGACTGTGTGGCCAGAGCACCACTGGCTCCCGGTCAGTTGAGGGGAGACAGGTCCTGTGGCCTCTTGAAGTTTGAGCTGACCCTCACTCTTCCCTCCAGGGAAGCCCTGCTGGCCGAGATGGGCGTGGCCATGAGGGAGGATGGCGGCACTCTGGGAGTGTTCTCTCCCAAAAAGGTAGGAGCAGTTTCCTGTTTTGTGGGGCCCGGCTTGAACAGGCTTCTGCCCCCTGCAGCCTTTGAAGGGTCTCACTCCTCTAGGAGTGGGCGTACAGCAGGGGGCCCAGGCACCGAGGACCCATGCCCACCACAGACAGGCCCTCCCTGTGTGAGACCCAGCCCCCCTCCTGAGGGCGGGGCATCCCTGTAGCCTTGGGGAGTGGGCTGGTGTGCTCGTCAAGGTCAGGGTGGCATGGGACCCAGACTCAGGCTAGAAACCCTACCTGGAGCCAGTGCTGCCCACAGACAGGGAGGGGCCGGACTTGGGGCTGGGAGTCAGCATCCTCTCAGAGCTCAGCCAGAGAGCATGCTCACCAGACCTAGTCTTGGGCAGCGTCTCAAGGTCTGCCATCTGGGAGCCCTCCAACGGAGACCCCCTCTGATGCTCAGATGGAGCATTTGGGGAAAAGTCTCTGATGCTTCTAGGACCCAGACACCACCACCACCACTCCCCACCCCCCCAAAGATTGCCATATCCTCAGAGCCATTAGGAGCAGAGCTCCAAGCCAGGAGGCCCTGCCCCTGCCACCTTGTTGGCGAGGAGGCACCTGGCCTCTTCCCACAGTGCAGCCCCCTGCGGTTGGCTTTTCACCCCAGCTTTGTCTGGGGCAGATGGATTCTGTGTTTGCCAGTCTTTGAAGCCCCCGTTGAGCCAGTGGGGGCCCCAAGGGAAGAGGAACCAAGGGCACTGGTGGGGTGGGGTCCCTGGAACACGACTAGGCTTCTTGGGCTTCTGCCCCCACACAGCCCAGGCTGGGGGACAGTGCATGCTGAGAGGCAGGAGGGAGAGGTGTTGGGGGGACCTGGGACAGATGGGAGCAGGCAGTGCCTTGATGGAGTCTTACCTCACATCCCTTCTGGAGAGGCCTTGGTTTTTCTGGAGGGTGTTGTTCCTGGGCTTTTCAGACCTGGCTCCTTCCTGGAGGGGCGGGGCGCTCCCAGGCTGGCTTGTGGAGCTGTGGGTGCAGGGGCCTCAGGGTGCTGGGTGCCCTGCAGTTCTTTGGCTTCATTGGTCGCCCTGGTAATGGAGGACAACCCTGCGGACACCTCCTCCTGAGAGCCACAGTGTTCTGGGACTCTGGGTCCCCTCGCTTAGCGAAGCAGGCTAGCACATCTCTTCCACACATTCCTGCTCCGGGCTGGGGTGGCCGGGGGTGGTTTGTCCTGGAGTCTTCACAGCCCTGCACAGGCATGTGAGTGGGGTATGGAGGGACTTACAGCTCTGGGTGGTGACAGCTTGCCCCAAGGTGTCAGGAGGGAAACTGAGGAAGCAGTCTCAGCCGCTGCCTGTTGCAGGACTCTTGCCCAGGACACAATGTGGTGGCTCCTGAGCTGAGGGACCGGGGAAGAGCATCAGAGGAATGGAGGTGGGGCATCGGGCCCCAGTGGGTAGAGCCTGCAGCAGCTGCCCTGGGACAGAGTGGAGCAGGGAGTCCAGGCCAGTACTTAGACAGGGGCCACTGGGGGAAAGGGCCACCTTGGCTTTGGGCCATGCTTTGCTAGACCATGGACAGGAGAGGCATGGTGGGGGGTTGTCAACTGGGGTGGCGACTTTCTCAGCCTCTCTGCTTCCAGCGACCAGGGTGTGAGGCCTTCTTGGCGAGAGTTGTAATCCTTGGTTCAGGTACCCACTGGAGCCCTCGCTCCCGGGTGCCCACCACAACTCCAAGCGCCCCTGGGCCCTTTGGTGCTGAGAGCTGGGCTCCCAGTTCCGCGTACCCCCGACCCCCGAAGCCCAGCTCCCCCTGAGTGCCAAGGCTGAGCCCCCACCCAGCCTGCTACCCGCTGTCCCCTCCAAGTCTGTGGAGTCCCCGGCAAAGGCTCTTCCTCTGGGAAACTTCTCCTTCACGTGTTCTGTCCTCCCTGGCGAGCTGGGAGGATGCTGTGTCCCCCACGAGGCCAGGCCCAGGGCTGGTGTTGGGCTAGTGCCCAGGGAGAGAGGTCAAGTAGGTCAGTACTGGGCTCCGGCTCACTGCAAGACAGATAACCCTTCTCTCTCCCTAGACGCCGCATCTTGTCAACCTGAACGAGGACCCGCTGATGTCTGAGTGCCTCCTCTACTACATCAAGGATGGGCTCACCAGGTGGGGCGGGCTCACGGAGGGGCGGGCTCACAGGTGGGGCGGGCTCATGGTGGGGCGGGCTCACGGAGGGGCGGGCTCACAGGTGGGTGCTCACAGGATTGGCTGTGTTTGGGGGTATTCCATGTGCCCCCTACTCATGTGCATCTTGGGTGTTTCCCATTAAAGCCCAGGTAGGTGTCCCTGGAGGCTGCAGGGGAAGTGGGGAGGGAGCCAGCGGGTGGCACCCTGGGTGCCTGGTCTGGTCGTTGATGACTGTGCTCCCCTGTTCCCCAGAGTGGGCCGTGAGGACGGGGAGAGGCGGCAGGACATCGTCCTGAGCGGGCACTTCATCAAGGAGGAGCACTGTGTCTTCCGGAGCGACTCCAGAGGCGGCAGCGAAGGTATGGCTCCTCTCCGCCCCACCCAGTGCTGCTGAGCCTCCGGCCAGCCCAGGCCAGCGCGTCACGGTGCAGGACCCTGCTCAGTCCCGGGAAGCCCCTCCATCAGGCAGGGCTTTGGCCATTAGGCTGGGGCCGTGGGCAGCCTCTCCTGTGTCGGTGTGTTTTGGGCTGATCCTGGGACAGTGAGCCATGAGGAGCCAGCCAGGTGGAGGGAGGAGAATTACTTCTGGACCACACTTTCCTGCTGTCTGTGGAGCGGCCACCGGCCCGTTTCCCCGCCTGCCCGCTGTCCGTCCACATGGCCTGTGTTGAGTGTGCTGCCTAGGGGAGCGCCTGCTGGACAGAGCGTTGTCACAGTGCCTGCAGCCCCCCAGCTGAGGGCAGGCGTCCAGCCAACCTCTGGGCCGCACACGGTGGCCGACACCTGCTGTGTAACTGGGACACTTCAGGGTGGTGGCCTTAAAGAATATTGGGGACATTGGCTCTCCCAGAATTCTCTGTCCCCAAAGCATGCCCTCCCCTGAGTGGGTGGGCACAGAGACCAGAGAGGCTGTGGGACTCCTGGGGACATGCTACCCACCTGGAGAGCCTGGCAGGGGTGATGGTCAGCCCAGAGCAGCCTCCTGGCTCTTGGATAGGGTGTCACTCTCCTCATCTATTAATCAGGCGTGACCCCTCAGCTTCTCTGAGGCCCAAACAAGGTGCCACTAACTGTTAAGGCTTTGCTGCTAGCTAGGAGGAGAGTAGTGGTGGAGCTGCACCTGAGTGCCAGGTGAGCAGAGCCCTGCAGGTAGCTGGAGGATGTGGCACCCACGATGATAGCCCTTGACAGTCTTTCTGTCTGTCCCTCTATCTGTCCTGTAGCCGTGGTGACCCTGGAGCCCTGTGAGGGGGCAGACACCTACGTCAATGGCAAGAAAGTCACGGAGCCCAGCATCCTGCGGTCAGGTACAGCCAGACAGAAGGCCCGTGCCACCCTCTGCCGGTGGGGCCAGTCTGCTTCCAGGGCTGTGGGCATTTGAGAAGGCAGAGCATTGGCTCAAGGTGCCAGGCTGGACGAGAACCTGGCATCAGAGGACACCATGGAAAGGATGGGACGTGGGGAAAGCCCGGGACTGCATTTGCAAACATCCCTGGCTACAAAAGGGGAGGGGCCGAGAGGGTTGATTTGGGGCATGTGAGGAGGTCCACTGAAGTCTGGGCCAGGGCGAATGGAGTTCCACAGAGCTGAGGGGCCGGGGGTGGTTCCTGGGGTGGGAGATGCTGGGAGTCTAATTCAAGGACGAGACTGCTCCCCCTTTTCCCTCTCCTCCCTGCCACCCGAGGCCACCCGAGGGTGCAGGTCCCCCTAGTTCAACCCGGCTTCTGTCTCTCAGGAAACCGCATCATCATGGGAAAGAGCCATGTGTTCCGGTTCAACCACCCTGAGCAGGCGCGGCAGGAGCGCGAGCGCACGCCCTGCGCAGAGACGCCCTCAGAGCCTGTGGACTGGGCCTTCGCCCAGCGCGAGCTGCTGGAGAAGCAGGGCATCGACATGAAGCAGGAGATGGAGCAGAGGTGAGTCTGGCTGGGAGCCTCCCCTCAGGGCCCCTGCTGCTCCCACTGCACCACATCCCCCTCCACCCAGTCACCCACCCCTGCCGAGTCACCCTTCCCCACAGCGTCACCCACCCCCACGGTCACCCACCCCTGCTCTTGCAGGCTTCAGGAGCTCGAGGACCAGTACCGCCGGGAGCGGGAGGAGGCCACCTACCTGCTGGAGCAGCAAAGGCTGGTGAGAGCGGCACTCCCTGGCCCCCAGTCCCCACACCATGCCTGGGTGGGGTGAGCCGGGTCCCTGCTGTGCCAACAGCCCTACTCTCCACTGCCCCAAGCCATCGCTGTATTGGTCCGTGGCTGGGCCCACTGGGCAGACCCGGGGCCCACAGCTCGAGGGGCCCAGCGGGAGTCACAGTCCCTGCTTCTGTGCTAGGACTATGAGAGCAAGCTGGAGGCCCTGCAGAAGCAGATGGAGTCCAGATACTTCCCAGAGGTGAACGAGGAGGAGGAAGAGCCAGAGGACGAAGGTGAGGGCTCCCCGACCTGGTGGTGGCCAAGGCCTGGGCCTCAGGCTAGGGAGGGGTCTCCAAGAGCATGCAGCCCCCAGGGCACTTCCTGGGATCAGTTAGTCTGCATCTTTGCCCTGCGGTCCTGCCTATTCCTTGGGAAGAGGCCTTGTCCCTGGGAGGCAGGATTCAGGGAGATTGTTGCAGCAGGAAAGCACCCCACAAGCTGCACACACATGTGCAAACACATGGGGTTCTGGGGGCAGCAGCGTGGACCATGGGGAGGACGGTGAGGGTGTCCTGTGTCCACTCATCCCTGTGCTACCATCCAGAGGCTGGTGCTCCCTTCCTACGAGGTCACTGCCCCTCACCTTGGGACTCCCTTTCTGGTCTTTGCTTAGGTGGCCTATCGGCTGCCCTCATGCTGTTGTGGGGCCCAAGGGAGGCCATGGAATTCACATCCTGCTTGGCCTCGGGTCTGTGGGTTAGCACCTTTGTACGGATGTGATCTTGGTTTCCCCTTGTCTGGGCTCATCTACCCAATGAGGGTCCTTTGAGCTCCGAAAGGCAGGGCTCTAGGTGGGAGGAGCTGCTGGGAGGAAAGGTTGAGCCTGGGAGCATGGACTTATCCTTCCTGGGCCTTCTTGGTGGAAAGAGTGTGTGAGCTGTGAGAGGGTGTGCAAGGCAGTCCCCGTCCCCACTGCTCCCCCATGTGGTGGTGTGCCTGTCCTTTCCTGCTGGCCCCTCAGTCCTCACCCAGCTTCAGTTGGACTCAGGATGGTGCTGATGCATTGCCCTCCTTGGGGCCCGAAAAGCCTTTCCTATTACATGGCTCACATCACCTCTTCCTGCCAGTTTCCTTCTTTCCGAGCACCCAGAGCAGTTAGGCTGAGATTGGGGGCCCAGGCACAGAGCCCCTGGCCCCAACCCAGAGCAGGATGATGTGGCATGGCCTCGGTGACCGTGTGGCCCCTCCCCACAGTCCCGTGGACGGAGAGGGAGTGCGAGCTGGCACTGTGGGCCTTCCGGAAGTGGAGGTGGTACCAGTTCACGTCGCTGCGGGACCAGCTCTGGGGCAACGCTATCTTCCTCAAGGAGGCCAACGCCATCAGCGTGGAGCTCAAGAAGAAGGTGGGCCCCCCAGCGGTCATGGAGGGAGGGCGTCACCCCTCCTGCTTACACTTGGACTTGACACCGGGTTCCTCTGCTCATGGTGGAGTGGTGCTGCCCGGCCTGGGGGGCGGGGGTGGAAGGGAGGCGGGAACTGACCGAGGTGCTGTGGCTCCCGGCTCAGTGGGCAGGCAGGTGAGCAGGTGCAGCCCTCTCCGGTGGTGGTGGGGGGGCGGGGGGGAAGATTCCCATGTGGGACATGATTATGGGAGATGAGAAGGAAGCCCTTCCGGGCCCCTGGCTCCCATCCTCCAGGGGGCTGACGGGTGGTCATCTTGTGCCTGCCACAGGTCCAGTTCCAGTTTGTCCTCCTCACGGACACACTCTACTCCCCACTGCCACCCGACCTGCTGCCCCCAGAAGCTGCCAAAGACCGAGAGACGCGCCCCTTCCCCCGCACCATCGTGGCTGTGGAGGTGCAGGACCAGAAGAACGGGGCCACCCACTACTGGACGCTGGAGAAGCTCAGGTGTGGCGGGTGGCAGCGGAAGTGGGCGTTGGGGAAGAGGAACCACCAAAAGGGAGGCGGCACTGGTTGTGTGGTGGACACCGGTCAGTGCAGCCTTGTCTCCTGTCTTAATCTCTTTGAAAATCAGAGGATCCAGCTTTACCAGGGCTCGGGTATCCCTCCACCAATGCAGTGGAACGTGTGGTGTGTGTTTGTGGAGGAGGCTGATGGGAGCTGCAGGGAGGTGGCACAGGATGGGCACACAGGGCCTGAGAGGCTGCTACAGGTCCACCTCCTTGGTCCCCGCAGGCTCACTGTGACATGTGCCCTGCCCTTAGTTTGTAAAGGTGGCCCAGACACGACGGGGCAGTGCCACTGAAGAAAAGTTTAATGTCACTCAGTCCCTAGAAGTGAGAGGAATGCCAGAGGGGAGCACGGATGGCAGAAGGAAGACAGGATCGAGGGAGAGGCCTTGGCCATGGCCCTACTAGGTTTTCATGGCAAAGCAGGGCAAGGTGGACAGAGAGGACAGGGCTGCCCCTAGGTGCCTGGTGCCTGGCCTTGGGCTGATGGAGCAGAGGGGCACTGGCTGGGTGTATGTCCGCTAAGGGGGTGGCTGTGTGTGTGTGTGTGGAACTCACCCCCAAAGTGTTTACTGTCTGAGAATTAGCTGGCCATGGGAGGGGCATCCTCCCCAGCCAGCAAGGCCCCAAAGATCATAAAGAAAATCATACAATCGCCGAAACTGGTTTGGCTCAATGGATAGAGCGTCGGCTTGGGGACTGGAGGACCCGGGTTCAATTCCGGTCAAGGGCATGTACCTTGGTTGCGGGCATATCCCCAGTGGGGGGTGTGCAGGAGGCAGCTGGTTGATGACTCTCTCTCATCGATGTTTCTGGCTCTCTATCTCTCTCCCTTCCCCTCTGTACAAAATCAATAAAATATATTTTTTTAAAAATCATACAATAGAATCAATACAGCACACACTGCACACTCACAGACTCTCATTCACCTTTCTTGTATGGCTCATTCACACACACATACACATACATACAGACAGTGATCCCTGCCCCCGCCCAGGCACACACACTCACACTCAGCCTCCTCCCCTCCCGGTTGCAGGCTGATGTTTGGGTGAATGTCCACCCTTCATTTATTCATGTTTCAGCTGAGTCCTGGAGGGAAATGGTTGCATTTTCTTTCTTCCTTACTTTGTGGGTTTCCTGGGGTAGTAATTTTTAAAATATCATTTTCTATATCCTATCACCAATTTGCCCTTCATTCCTGGAGCATCCTGAGGTCCCCATGCCAGCTCCCTTTGGGGTTCTCTCCCCACTTTTCTGCCCCTGCTAAGGGTTACCTTCCTGTCGCTGGTTTCCAGCTATCCTGCCTGCTTGCCCCACCTTGCTGTTACCTGGCCAGAGTTGGGAGGAGTTAGTGGTGACCTCGTCTGTTTACCTGGAAGTCCTTTGCTCAGTGACCGATTGTGAGGACCTCAGAGGTCTGTCAGGAAAGTAGCTGGAGCCTCAGAGAACCCTGAGCGGGATGCTGTGGCCAGAGCTGAGTCCCAGAGGAGGCGAGCAGTGCAGCCGCTGCAGAGCCCACACTGACCTCTGCTCCCCTGCAGGCAGCGCCTGGACCTGATGCGGGAGATGTATGACCGGGCAGCCGAGGTGCCCTCCAGCGTCATCGAGGACTGTGACAACGTGGTGACTGGCGGAGACCCCTTCTACGACCGGTTCCCCTGGTTCCGGCTGGTGGGCAGGTGGGCACCTCCCTCCCTCCGTCCCTGGGCTGAGTCAGAGGGAGAGAGCATGAGAGGAAGAGAAAGAGTGAGAGAGATTGAGAGAGAGAGTGAAAGAAAGGAACCAAGGAAGAAAGAGAGATTGAGGTTGAGAGAAAGAGAGATTGAGATTGAAAGAGAAGAGAGGGCAGTGGGGGCGAAAGCCTCCCAAGGCAGGACCCCGACTGGCCCTGCTCCCATCCTGACTTCCCCACCCTGGTCCTTCCTGGTCTGACCCCTGTTACTTCGGAGACCATGGAGGGCTCCCAGCATTGTCCCCACACCCACCGTGGGGCGTGGCCACCAAGTCCCCGGGGTCCACGTGTGTGAATGTGTGAGGCTTAGTCCGACTTTCCGGGCCACCTGGTGGCTGGGGCGGGAGTGGGGGCGCAGGGCCGTGCCACCCAGAGCCTCAGTCCCAGGCCTCCTGTCCCTGGTCTCCTGGCCTGGGTCTGCGCCCAGCCACTCGCCCCGTAGGATGGACCTGGTGTTCAGAGGCCTCCAGGTGGCCAAGCATTTCAGGTCTTCGCACGACCTCAACCACACCAGGGCAGGATCACTCCGCTGGCGCTTCCAGGACCTTCCGGAACCTTCCACTGACCAACCACACATGCAGTTTCCTTCTGAGCCTGGGACGGGGTGCCCTTTCGGTTCTCGTCTTTGAAGGCCTTTCTTGGTGGTCTGTGTGTTTGGTTTGGGTGTATCTGGAAGCCCCTGCCCCCGTGTGCCCTGTGCGAGGCTGGTGTTAACTTCTCTCTGTCTTGTCCTACTAACCTCAGTTCAGTCATCTCTGGCTGCAGCAGCTACCCTCTTCTCAACACGTGCATGAGCGCGCGCATGGCTGCTCTCACCCCCTCCCCCACCTCCTCGAGCCCCAACTCCGACGCCACCGAGCCTGCGGAGGAGCAGAGCCTGGGGGAGGAGGAGGAGGAGGAGGAGTTGGAGGAGGAGGAGGAGGACCTGGAGGACGACGTCTTTCTGGAGCACGCGCTGTGCCACGGCCGGGACCCGTTTTACGACCGGCCCCCCCTGTTCAGTTTAGTAGGAAGGTTGGTGAGGTCGAGGACAGCATGCTGGGAAGGAACCAGCTCTTTTGCACAGGAGCACTGCTGTGGGCACAATTGGATCGCCCTCAGGGCGTGACCATGGGCCAAGGGGCTGGCCTTGCAGGAGGGCGGCTGCATTCCTGAAGCATGGCCGCCAGCTCCGTGCAGGCGGGAACACTCTCAGAGAGGGCCTAGAACCGGGGAGGTGGCCGCTGGACCCTGGGAAAATCCTTGAGCAGGACCCCACAGGGCACATTTGGAAAGCAGGGGGCAGGCCACCCTCAAAGGCCCCGTGGTCCTGGGGAACAGACCCGCCCCCAGTTCAGGCAGCTTCCCCACCTCCACTGTGGTCCTAGCAGAGCACGGAGGAGCTGTCCCGGGCAGGGAGGAAGGGCTGCGCTTGGGCAGTGGAAGGACCTCCCTCAGAAGTGGGGGCCCTGCAGACCCTGCCTCTCTCTGAGCCTGTCTCCATCTAAAGGTGAGGACTGTTTGTCCTCTGACCTCCCAGGCCTTCATGGCCAGAGACACATGGCCCTGCACCCAGGAAGTGCCCTTTGCAGAGAGGAGCCCAATGCTGTGGCCTGGGATAAGAGAGGCCGAGGTCAGGCAGATACAGCTGCCAGTCACGTTTGTTTATCTTTGTGAAATGGAAGCCTGACTAGTGAAAGAAAGACCTAGAAACCTCCTGTGGGAGAAGGAAATGCAGCTCATGAAGCAACTGAATTTACATGTTTATAGAATGAAAAAGTGTGAGATGGTTTTAGCAGCAGCCATTTGGAGAGTGTTTCCTTGAGCCAGTCCAATGCAGGTTTTGGAAGCCTTGGCCTTGAGCGCCTGTGCTGACAGCTGTGGGCTGCAGGGCCTCAGAGAGTGGGGTTCACACTGATCCTCTTGGAACGAAGCAGGTTGCCATGGGCACACATCCTGGATTTATTCTAATTAGGGTCCCTTGAGGGACATGCTGGCCTATTGGATAAAAGCATGTAGTCCCTTGCCGGCCTACTGAATAAAAGCAAGTGGCTCTCCCTCTGAGACGCCTGGGCTTCGGTCTGCAGAGCCCGAGAGACAGCGGAGCCTCAGAAAGCCCAGCCACTAGGGCCAGGCCCTTTGGCCTGCTGGGCCCAGGAGGCACTCAGGTGACAGGTAGGCATGGGACAGGGCACAGGGGAGCGAGGACTCGGGGAGAAACGGGGTGTGGGTTCTTGCAGTCTCAGCCAGAAAGAGCTGGGTCCTTCCGGCACTTCCCCGTGTGGACCTGAGATGCCAGGAAACAACCAAACCAAAGCAAAGCCGCCCCTGAGAGGCCGGCCCTGCCTGTGGGCGGTCTGTGGAGGGCTTCTTTCGGAACCATCCTGATCTTTTTGTTTGGCAAGAATTGGCTTTTCCCTGCTCAGCAGCTATGTGGGCCGGGCCTCGGGAAGGACCCGGCTGTGTTTTCCTCTGATCCTCTGGTAGCTGCCGGCTCTCTCTCCAAAGCTTAAGCAGAATTGGGGCACTCACCCTCATCTCCCTTCAGAAAGGCTTTCTTGGCCCAGCATGCATCTTTGCACCTCACCAATCTCGTGGTCAGCGCTGCCTCCTCCCTCCCGCCTCACAACTCTGGCTCTGTGTCTCTGCCACCTTCTCTCTGTGGGCGGGTTTCAGCCTGCTTCAAGGTGTGCTCACCTCCGTGGACAAGGTCCCCCAGCCTGGGCATTGCTTGTCCTGACCCAGGCCCCCTACCCAGGCCCAGGGTCCCCGCCCCCCAGGCGGCCACTCCAGTTGGCAGTCTGGGGTGCTGGGTGAATTGGGGGATGGCTGACCAAGCAGAGGAGGAATTAGGGAGCAGGGGGGGTGGGGAAGGGAGGTAGGGAAACTGCACAGGTGCACAGGGGAGGGGAAGGGAGGGAGGGTCCCAGGAAAGGAGGGATTGGGTGAAGGAACAGAGGTGACTGCTCAAGGGAAGTGTCCCGTACTCTGGGTGGGGAAACGCTGAGCTGCTCCATGCACTCTGCCACCTGGGCTGGCAAGGCCAAACCATCAGCCAGGTGTCCTCTGCATCCCCGGCTGCTCAGCCCAGATCTTTGCCAGCAAGACCGAGAACCACTCCGTGTGTGCGGGCAGGGCGTCCCCACGGTGGCCCATGCTAATGCCAGGTTGTCTCTACCCCATGGCCCCACCCCCTCATGTCTAGTGCTGTTATAGGTGGCTCTGTATGGGGTGTAGGGTCTTGGAGCCCTAGCTTGCAGTCCTTCGAGGCTGGTGCAGTGGCTCCTGGGCCCCAGAGGTTCCTTCTGGCTGAATGTGTCCATCCCCATGGCCAGGTGGACCGGGGTTGGGAGGAAGGAGCCAGCGAGGCTTCCTTCTCCTTCTCTGAATCTGGAATCAGAGCAGCAGCCAGATCTGTGGACCCCAGCCGTGTTTTGTGCACCCCTAAGAAAGAAAGATGAGGCCGGCTGCTGAGGCCTGCCACTGCTCAGTCCAGCCCCAGTTTCCGTGCTGAAGTGTGAACAGTGGCATCTGAGAACCCAGGAGGTGCGGGAGCACCTACCACCCAGGTGTGGGAAGAGCAGATGTCCCAGTGCCGGCCCTGCTGAGCTCAGGCTCCCAAGGGGCTGATCGGAGTCGGGGCCACCAGGGCCCGCAGGGGGCTTTGAGGTGGCCCTTAGTCCGGCTCTCCCTGCTGGCTGGGAGGCCTTGGGCAGCCCTTGACCTCTTTTTCCTGGAGATTGTACTAATTAAGGACCCCCCGTGCCCTTACTTAACCTACCTACACGAGGAGGTATCCCCTCCTCAAGTACCCCCGATTTCAAGCAAACGCCCTTGGCCAGCCAGGTGCCGGGGCAGGAAGGCCACCACTGACCCCACTCCGGGGCAGCTGCTGGGAGCAGCCCACCAGCCTGCCCCCTTCAGTCCCTGCCTGCTAGGTGCCCTCTGTGACTATGGCAAGGGGCTGCCAGTATTTGGGCCTCAGTTTCATCTCGTAACCAGGGCCAGGGATGGACTTATGGCCCCTGAGGCTGGAATAGGGGCTGGGCAGCAGGGCTACAGGTGAAGCAAGGAGACTGTATGCCATCGAGATGGGGTCTAATTTGCATCCCAAGACTCCTTGGATGCTGTGGAGGCCATAAGGGAAGCAGGTGGGTGGCCGGTGGTAAGGGACCCGCCAAAGGACATCAGAGAGACTTCTGAGGTAGAACTGATAGGTTTGAAAGATAGGTAAGATGGTGTTCAGGCATTTGACCTGCTTGGAGAGGACCAGCAAGGGCATGGAGGTCGAGATTAGGAGCCCCAACTCAGGAGTCAGTGTTACCAGGAGTGGCCTGTTCTGTGCTGCAGTCACAGCAGGTCCAGAGACGAGTGTCCTGGACCTCAGAGTGTGGGACAAGGCCAGGGGCTCAGTGTGGGTAGTGTCTGACCTCCAAGCAAGCCGAGTGAGATGCAGGGTGATGGTGACACCCTACTTCTCCCCACGCTGCCCTGTACTGCTCTTGGCCATGCACCTGGGTGCCAGCGCCCACTAGCAGACCGTGGCCTTCCCTTCACCCATCTCCTCCCACCTCCACCCCCTGCTGCTGCTCTAGCCTTTATCTGTCCATTTTCCCCGCTGGGACCCTGGGCCTCCCTCCCCCCACCTTGTGCACCTTCTCCCCAACACCTCCCTCCTTCCTATCAAGTCCTGCCCCTCCCCCAGGACCTCCACCCCCAGCCCCCAGGAGCTCAGGGTTATGATGTTTGCTGGAGCGGGAGCTACCTGGAGGGGAGGGCAGGTGGAGGCAGGTCCTGCTGGAGTGTGCAGAGGGTGGCTGTCCCCAGGGGCTCATGTGGGTAGGTGCCCCTGAATGATGGGGGAGATTTGTTCCACATCAGCCTGCCCAGCCCCCAGGGTCCTGTCTATCTTCCTGGCTGCCCTTGTAGCCCTTGCCCTGGCAAGGTGACAGACTCGAGGACTTTGCACATTGACAAACTCGGGGACTCTGGTAGCTGCTGGGTGATGCAGTCTCTGTCTGGTCTGTCCTGGCACCAGCTGGGCACTGCCAGGGCAAGGGAGAGCTCTGCGTGCTCTGTGGGTAGCTGGCAGGGCCATGGCATGCAGCTCTGTGGGGTCTGCGGGCGTCTGTTCAGCCACCCCTCTCTGAGCTGGGGCTGGTGCCCTCTCTGGACTGACACCACGGAGCCCCTACCACGGTGTTTCTAGGAGCTCAGAGGAATTGTGGGCCCTATTCTGGCACCGGGACCCACAAGTGTCGGGTCCCTGGGAAGCAGGTGGGTGTTGGGACTGTCAGGGCACCAGTGCCAGCGTCGTAGCTCAGTGTGGCCAGGTCCCAGGTCCTCCTCCTTGAAGCAGGCTGAACCCCTCCTCAGCTGCTTTCTCGTCAGTTAGCAGGTGTGGCCTGAGCTGTGCCCTGTGCCAGCCCACTGGCCTCTGCCTCTGCCCCAGCGCACGACCTCCACCTCCTCCTGTGTCCTCTGAGCGCCTCAGCCTCTGTCTGTCCCCCCGCCCGTCGCCTGCTGCCCGGCCTCCCCGCGCTCCGCTCGCTTTGCAGTGTCGTGTCGTGAGCTTGGCCGCACTGTTGCCACCGCCGCTCGCAACGCACATCCAGCTGGCCCTGACCGGAGCCTCTTCCCCCAGGGCCTTCGTGTACCTGAGCAACCTGCTGTACCCCGTGCCCCTGGTGCACCGAGTGGCCATCGTCAGCGAGAAGGGCGAGGTGAAGGGCTTTCTCCGTGTGGCCGTGCAGGCCATCTCAGGTGTGTGAGAGGCCCCAGGCGGGGAGGCCTCTGCGGGCATCACAGAGGTTGGTGTGCAGCCAGCCTCACCAGGCCCCCCGCCTGTACTGTATCTACCCCCTACCCCACAGCTGGCCGTTAGCTGCTGGTCTCCAAGTGGGGCCTCAGGAGAAGCCCCCATGCTCAGTTTTGGCTCTGGCCTCTCAGACTCTCCCAGAGTGACCGGCGCCCTTTGGGGCAGTGCAGGCTGAGCTCAGGGCTTTCTGAGCCCCCTCTGGCTCAGCGGACCTCCCTCCCACCAGAGTTTCCCACGAAAACTCTCCTAGCTCACCACTTGCTGTCTCTAAGCCCCAGGACGGGCTGCCCAGACCTCGCCCACAGTGGCCCTCAGAGCCTCCCTTGGTCCAGTATACCCCTCTTCGGACCCCACAGCCCCTCCCAGCCGTGTCCCTGTGGTGTGGGCCCCCGGGGACCCTGCCAAGAAGGAAGCCTGGGTGGGAGCGAGGGCGGCACTGGAAAGGGACAGAGGACAGGGATGCTGGGAGCAGTTGGTGGCTCTTCCTTCCTGACCAGCTCTGTCCCAGTTCAGTGGGTCCCCCTGAGCAGGTTGCTTTATAGGGTGACACTGCCTCTATGTGGACCACACCTGACATTCTCTGTCTAGTGGATATGGTGGGGGGAAGGATCTTAAAAACACACATCAAAAAACCAGCCTCCTGGTCACAGAAGTCACTCCTACCCCACCCCCACGTGGCTGAGCTCAGCTCCTGCTCTCTCGCACCAAGCCCTAGCCTGCTGTGCACAGCCTGGGCTGGCCCCGAGTGATGGTGGGGCAGGACTGTAGGACAGCCGGGCTGGGGAGCTTAGGGTGTTAGCACCCTCGCAGAGGGGCAGACCCCCCAGTTGGCAAGGCCTGAACAGAGGGGCAGACCCCCCAGTTGGCAAGGCCTCTAACCAGAATGACTGCAACTGGGGCTCAGGGGCCTTTAGGCAACAGGAAAAGGGTTTGGATTTTGTCCCAAGCACAGGAGAGACCACTGGCTACTCTGAAGGAAGGGATGTGGGGCGCTGAGTGCCCAGGTGGGTGACTGTGGTGCTTTGTAAGGGTGTGGCAGAGGGATAAGTGGGGTTCCACCGTGAAACCAGGCAACCTGGTTGGGGGGAGGGAGGGGCTAGGAGGACCCTGGTTCTGCTATAGCATCTGAGTCTGGGGGAGGCCGGGGGGTGGGGTTCAGGACTCAGGGAGAGGGCTGGGTCATAAGCGTGGCTTTTACAATGTGGCGTTGTGGCCCCTATCAAAGCAGGCTGTGTTGAGGCTGTAGCCACTTCTGGGCCCCGAGACAGCACAGGCTGGTGGTCGGCATGCTCAGGGTGTTGCCTTGGGCGTCCTGCAGTCACGGTTGGCAGTGTTGGGGATGGGGTGGGTCAGAGCACGGCCTGGTTCCCGTGCCCTCCCCCTATCTGACCGCTCAGCCTGGCTCTGCCACACCACCTGGGGATGAGCAGGGCCCTGACCATCTGCTTGGCTCCTGTTCTAGCCGATGAAGAGGCCCCTGATTATGGCTCGGGTGTCCGCCAGTCAGGAACAGCCAAAATCTCCTTTGATGACCAGCATTTTGAAAAGGTACCGAGCAAGCAGCTTCTCTCCCTGAGGCTCTTTCTTCTCCCAACCCCACTGGCCGCCTGCCACCCTGTCCTGAACCTCAGTGCCCACCACCTCGAGCTCAGGGCAGTGTGCCTGCCCCCACCCCCCCAGTTCCTCTCTGAGGGGATCACCAATGTTGGGGATGCACAGGAGGGTCAAAGGGCAAACAAAGTTGGAGAGCACAGGGCAAAGGAGGCTGTGTGGGCTCCTGGCCCAGGGAACCCGGCCGGGACCCTGAGAGCCAAGCAGAAAGGTTACCTGCATCCTGCCCACGGGGGAGAGGCTGAGGGAGAGTCCTGGATGGGGCTGAACTGAGGACCTTTCCCATTCATGGAATCCGCATAGGCCATGACAGCCTGGGAAACTGGGGCCTAAGGAGATGGGTACCCACCCACCCTGGGGCAGGTCTGGAACCAAGAGCCATGAAGTTCTCACCTGACTCTGGATAGCACAGGCCCACTCCCCTGGCCTCTTGACTGGCTGTGGGGACCTCACCCAGCCCTCTCTCTCTGACTCTGGTTTGCCACCCTCCATAGTTCCAGTCCGAGTCCTGCCCTGTGGTGGGGATGTCTCGTTCTGGGACCTCCCAGGAAGAGCTGCGCATTGTGGAAGGCCAGGGCCAGGGCGCCGACGCGGGGCCCTCCGCCGACGAGGTCAACAACAACACCTGCTCCGGTAGGTCCCTGTGGCTGCCCAGGGCTTGGGGCTCTTGGACGTGGCCCTAGCCCCACTGTAGTCTGGCGGTCCCTCCACTTCCAGCCCGGCCTAGGGTGCTGAGGACCAGCCCCCCGCCCCCCCGCCCCCATGCCCAGTCCCTGAGGGAGGCTGTGCAGCCCCAAGCCTGACCTCAGCTCCAGTGCCCGCGGGTCCTGTAACAAGGCTGTGCCCTTGGCTCCCAGCAGCCCTGCCTCCGGAAGGCCTCCTCCTCGACAGCCCTGAGAAGGCCACCCTGGACGGGCCCCTGGATGCCGCCCTGGACCACCTGCGCCTGGGCAGCACCTTCACCTTCCGTGTGACCGTCCTGCAGGCGTCCAGCATCTCGGCGGAGTACGCCGACATCTTCTGCCAGTTCAAGTGAGCTCAGCCCAGCTGGGCCGGCCAGCGGGTGGGCGGGCAGACTCTAAGCAATGCATGGATGGTGTCCCAGTGGCCCCAGCCAAGTGTCTCCTCCCGCTTTGCAGCTTCATCCATCGCCATGATGAGGCCTTCTCCACGGAGCCCCTGAAGAACACGGGGAGGGGCCCCCCACTTGGCTTCTACCACGTCCAGAATGTAGGTCCCCAGAGCCCTCTTCCCTTCCACTGGGTGGCCCTTCCAGAGTCTGGCTCTGGGTGGCCTCCCTGAGGCCTCATAGGGTCTTCCCTCTGTACCAGTCTCTGTTCTGATTTCCCCCTTCCTAAGCACATGGTCATGTTGGGTTAGGGCCATACGAATGTCCTCATCTAACTCGCTGACCTCAATAAAGACCCTGCCTCTAAATACAGGTGCTGGGGGTTAGGGCTGCAACTTATGAACTGGGATGGGATTCTGGGGCGACACAGTTCAACCCATAACTCTTGGTGAGTGGGCTAGGGCCCCAGAAGGTCAGACCAGACCCAGAGACACCCTGGCCTTGGTCATTATGTCGAGCGCTGTGGTCTGAAAGGGCAGCCAAGCCCTCTGGCCCAGCCCATCTGTACTGGGAAGAGAGGCCAGAGCCACCTATCTGGTGACCTGTCCGTTGGGTGGTGACGGAGGAGAGGCAGGGCTGGAAGGATCTCGGCTAGGAGCGTTGTTCCTGTCATGAGCGGAACTCAGGCCCATGAGGCCTTCCATCTGGGCCCGGATTGCTTGGTCCTCCATGGAGGCCCCGTGCTCTCCTCTGATCGCCTGCCCACCTTGCCACCAGATTGCCGTGGAGGTGACCAAGTCCTTCATCGAATACATCAAGAGCCAGCCCATCGTGTTCGAGGTCTTCGGCCACTACCAGCAGCACCCATTCCCTCCCCTCTGCAAGGACGTGCTCAGGTCCTGGCCCAGTTCTCATGGTCCCGTGGGGCGCCCGGCGGGTCTGGGGGCCTGTGGGAGGGAGGAAGGCAGGCGGGGCTCCCTGCTCCAGCTCAGACCCCTGCAGACGCCAGCCTGCTGGGTTGCCTCACGTGGGTGCTTCTTTCTCCACAGCCCCCTGAGACCCTCACGCCGCCATTTCCCACGGGTCATGCCACTGTCCAAGCCAGGTAGGCCGAGCTGATGGGAGTCTGCCCTGAGGGTGTCAGTGTGGTTGGGACCTTGCAGCTGAGCACAGTCCTCATGCCGGTCATCACTCCCAGCCTCGGGGCCTCCGGGAACCTACTAGGCCTCATGGGGTGACGGCAGAGAAAAACACCTCAGGTGTCTTGCCCCTCATCAGGCACAGAGCAGCTGGGTGGTGGTCAGGTGGTGCCTGCCCTGTGCCTCAGAGGTTCCTGGAGCAGATGATAGAGGCGTGGGTGCCCAGGGAGGAAGGCATTGAGGGGCTGGGGACCCCCTGAACCTGTTTGTCAGGAATTGGCCGTGAGTAGAGGGCCAGTGGGACCTGAGGGGCAGGACTTGTCTGTGCTGGGTAGAGGTGCTTGGACAGGTGCCTCAGGCTGTGGCCAAAGTGTGGTCTAGCAGGGATCCTAGGCAGGTTGTAGGCCTCTGAGCAAGTGTGGCTCCTGCTGTCTGCTGGTTCTGTGGCATCTCAAGCCACCACCCCCTCTTCAAGGGCTGGGGTGTGTAGCCACGTGCTCCGCCTCTGGGCATGGAGAAGCACATGGTCACATCTGATCGTGAGCTAGTAAGTGGCTGCTAGTACGTGGCTGCTGAGGCCTGAGTGGGCACCTCCTGGGACATGGGGTGGGGAGCCGCTGGTGGTTTTTCTTGGAGTGAGATGAGCTCGCTGCCTTGACGTGTCCTCCACCTCGGCACCCTCCTTGAGCGAGCCCTCGGTGCATGGTGGGTCCGGTCTCTCATCAGTGCGTGCTTCTCTCCCCTAGTGCCCGCCACCAAGCTCAGCACGCTGACACGGTCCTGCCCTGGGCCACGCCACTGCAAATACGACCTGCTGGTCCACTTTGAGATCTGTGAGCTGGAGGCCGATGGCGAGTGCGTCCCCACGCTCAGTGTGCCCCTGCTGGGGGGCTGGGGTTCCCGAGGGCCATGGTGGGGGAGGAGGTGGCACATGATGGGTTCCTTGCCCCGCTGACTCTGGTCGCCATGGACAGCCGCCCATCTCACCAGCAGAAGTGGGTGACTTTCCTGTTCCCCTTCCACTCCTGGGCCTGTGACTGTGCCTGGGCCTGTGGGGAGGGCAGACGCCGGCCTCACACATCTTTCTCTCTCCAGTTACATCCCTGCAGTGGTGGACCACCGTGGCGGCATGCCGTGCATGGGGACCTTCCTGCTCCACCAGGTGCCAGGCCCTCCCTGCCCCAGCCCACGCATGCCCCCTCGCCTGCCCCACATGGCCCCCAGACTCCCTGACCCGTGTCCTCTCTCCTGGTGCCTGACAGGGCATCCAGAGACGGATAACCGTGACGCTGCTGCACGAGACGGGCAGCCATATCCGCTGGAAGGAAGTGCGAGAGCTAGTCGTGGGTAAGTGAGGCGGGTTGAGTCTGCCTTGGGGGCTGGGGCTGGGCTGGTGGTAAGGCAATGGACCTGCCCACCCAGCTGCCTGAATTCTAACCTCAACAGGGCTCTGCCCCTGTTGCTGTGTGACAGTGGCCAAGTCACTTAACCTCTCTGTGCCTCGGTTCCTTGCCTGAAAAGGAGAGACTAGACCATGGTGATGATTCCAAGTATCTATTTAATCACCGTGTTAGCTTGCACCACACACCGGGTAGCTTAAAACAACAGAAATTTCTCCTCTTACAGTTCTGGAAGCATAAATCCTAGGCAGAGGGGTTGGCAGGTGGCCATACCCCCACCTCTCCTGGCCTCTTGTGGGATCTGTAGACGCCTCGTTCCAATCCTTTGTTTTCGCGTGGACTCCTCTTACAGCGACATGGTCAGATGACATTCGGGCCCAGTGTTACCACATCTCAACTAATGGCAGCTGCCAAACAGGGTCTTCTCCTTCCAGGAAGGTCGCGTTCGCAGTGCCAGGGGCTAGGACTGCGGCATATACACTGTGGGGAAAGCCCCTTGCAGGAGCATTTGATGGCACGGGTTGTGTTTCTTTCCCCTCTCTCCCTTTTAAGTATAATGAGGAGAGGGAACATTTTCTCCTCATCTTGCTAAGATTTCCTTTCCAACAGGTAGGAAACCTGAGCATTTTGGGCTGAGCGATTGGAATCTGTTAGGAGAGAGGAGAGGGAGGAAGAAGCTCAGAACTTAGACTGCAGGAAGGAAGATGGTAGAACCGTGCACTGACCCATGGCAGCAGGCCGGCTGCAGACCCTGCATGGGTTTCCCTGTCCTCCACGGGGTTACCCTTCAACAGATGCTCTGGTGGCCACACCGGGAGCTGGTTCCCTGCAGGCCTCAGTTCAGAAGCTCCGGGCCAGGTAGAGGTGTGAGTAGTTACCTCGTGCCCCCACCTGCCCACCTGGAACTGACACAGACCTGTCACCTTTTCCGTAGGTCGCATCCGAAACACCCCAGAGACAGACGAGTCCCTGATTGACCCCAACATCTTATCTCTCAACATTCTCTCGTCTGGGTACATCCACCCGGCCCAGGATGACCGGTGAGTCCCCTTGGGCAGCAGGCTCTGGTCCTGAGTCCCTGGAGATTAGTCTGTCCTGCTTGGGCCCCAGGGGTTGGGATGTCAACCTATGGCATCCTTGGCTGGCCTGGACATGTTGGGTCCAGCCACATGGGCTGGGCTGTCTGGCCCCGAAGCTTCTAGGCCTCCTGCTCGAGGGAAGGGGAACAGGGAGAGAGGCTTGTGGCCTCCAAGTTCCGTGGTGCATGTGTGAGCATCTTTGTTCATTTGATCGCCTGGCAGGGACTATGGGGCAGTTGTGGGAATGAGCTGGTCCTGTCTGGGAGTTTAGTAGGTGGGTGGGTGGGTACCCTGGGTGGTGGGAGGACAAGCATCCCACATTTCCCGACCTTGCTGCTGAGGGCATTTGTGTGACCTCTGGCAGGGGAACACCGACCAAGGGTCCTGGAGGCGGTTCAGGGGCACGCTGGGTTGGCAGCCCAGCATCCTGGGTGAAAGTGTGCCCACCGGTCACTCCTTGTCACTGGGCCATTCCTGTCAAGGCTCCCAGGTGATGGTCAAGATCTCCCAGCTTACGCTGTCCCTGCACTTGGCACAGTGGACTGGGGGTGGGACACCTTGGGGACAAACCAGCCAGGGTGGGAGGGATGTGACCGGGAAATGCTGGAGCCAACTGGGGCTGGGGGTTCACGACTGACATTGGGGAGAGCAGCCTGGAATCCCTGGAGGCTCGGCTGTGTCTGAGGGGCTGCTGTCCAGGGCTGTGGGGAGGTGAGCAGGGTGCTTCAGTCCCACACCGGCTGCTCCCAAGCCCTCCTTCTGCCTGACTCTCTGAGCTCAACCTGAGGGTGTCTCCATGGAACCTTGAGACTGGGAAGGCTGCATGTGCTTGCAGAGGGAGGTGGCGCCCACGTTGTAGAAGTGCCCACGTCTATACGGACAGAGGGTCCTGGGGAGTTGCCTCCCGTTCTGACTCTCGAGTTCAGACACCCTGAGAGGGGGCTGTAAGGGACCATCCCTCAGGTGAGCAACTTGGGGATTGGAAAACAGGGACCCAACTGGGGCAGATGAGGCTCTGGTTCCAGCCCTGCCCTGGGACCTTTTAGGAGGAACCCACCTTGTACTCATATCCAGAGGAGGGAGGGGTTGGGGGAGAGCATTGGGGGTGTTCTCGTGTGGAGGTGACACATGACAAGCAGGCTGGGGCTGCACCTGTGAAGGTGAGGCAGACAGGAGGTGGGCCTGTCACTGTGCGAATGCACCCCGGGACTTGGCGGTGAAGGCGTGGCACCCACCCACACGGGGGCTGCCTGCACGGATGTGGGATGCTGTGTCTGGGCCATGGGAGTCAGGACCCCTACAGGAGGGCATGTCCCCCTATGTGTCTTGCTGAGTGATGTCTTGGACCTCAGCCTTCCCCTGACCTCTGGCAATTCATAGATTCTTGGGGCAGGAAGGGAGTGGGGAGGCAAAGGAAAGGGGTGGGGGGGGGGGTGCCTCCCAGGCCTTCCATCCTGTTTATGGGTCTTCTTGCTGCTGGGGACATTGTGGGGAGCATCAGCCCTGGGCTAAGTCCCAGGGTAGCCTAGGAGGCTGCTGGATCTCAAGCCAGCAGAGCTTTGGCTAAAAGGTCCTTCCTGTCCCCGGAGGCTCCATACCCATTGCTGACGGGCTTTGGTCCTGCACCTGGGGGCTGTGGGAGGGAAGCAGCTTCAGGGCAGCTCTGGGGTCCGTCAGCCCTTGAGGTCAGGGCCCTGGACCCAGGACAGGAAGTCGGCGTAGACCACCGCTGCTCTGGCCCCTATGCTTGGCTTTGGCCCGCCTGGCCCCACCTCCTGCATTGCCCTGGAGAAGCCTTGGGCAGGCACATGCTAAGGCTTGGTCGGCTGGGCCAGCAGGCCCCTCCCCACGGCCTTCTTCTTCCGGGACCCTGGCTCGAAGCCCTGTGGTGGATCCGGCGGCTCCTCAGATGAACAGGGCCCCTTCCCCCCCCCCCCCCCCCAGATGCTGAGGCTCAGGCTTCGGGTCTCGGGCTGCCCACGAGCTTTGCCACAGCCCCGGCCTCCCTGCTTGAGGCCCCACGCTTTGCAGCCTCCCTGGCTCAGAGTGGGCCTGCCAGCTTGGTGGCTTCTCTCTGTGCAGCTCCCCCTCCCTGTCGCTGCCCACTGTCCCTGCCCGCTGCCCCACCCCCACTGCCCCGAAGCCTCACTAACCTGTGACTGTTTGTGTTTTGCAGGCAGTTTCTTGATTCGGACATGCCTAGGTATCATTTGTGCCCTCGGTTTTCTTTCAGCATCTCCCTGCCCCCTCCTCCCAGCCCTGAGTTTTAATTTCCACTTTCTGGATTCCTTCTACACTGCTCATCTCTCCTTCCTGTTTTTTCATCTTTTATTTCCTTAGAATACCTTTTTGCTTTTTGAAATTGCTTCTTCACCCCCCTCTCCCCCCCCTCCCCCGGCTGAGTCCCTTCTGCCCCTCTCTTGGTTTTGGCTGCTTTGGTAGTTTGCTGCCCTCCTGTAGGCACTGGCTGGCTCCCGCTCCTCCCACCCCAAACCTTACCCACCCCGTGCCCACCTGACTTCACCCTACTGGAGGGCAGTGGACGCTTTGCATGCAGATTGGCTGGCCAGGCTCCCCAAAAGATGACAGAGAAAAGAGGGAGGGAGTGAAGCCAGCCACTCTGCCAGATCTCCACCTCTGCCCCTTCCACCCCTGGGTGTGAGCCCCTCACCTGGCTGTGGCCACCACTCACCCTGTAGGAAGTAAGTGGACAGTAAAGCTGTGAGGGGCCCAGTAAGTCTCTGGACTCGCTTGGCTGGTCTCAGGTCAAACCACTGGAGGCACAGGTTCCTGGACTGGGGACCTCCCATTCCTGCCGAACCAAGTCGAAGCCCCTGAGGCTGGCCAGCCTCAGTGCCTAATCCAGACTGTGTCTGTGAGACTGGAGTCTACAAGGCTGTCACGTACTGGATCCCGGTGGATTTGGCCAGAGTTCCATGTGGTGGTCCTGGGGGTTTCCTGTGGGAAGACTAAAGGCTTCCAGCTTGAATGTTTGGGTCTTGGGTCTGTAAGCTACACAGGGGTTGGTGGGATGCACGGCTAGACCGCCTGAGGCGGTGTCCCTGTCGGGTCCTGGCTGTGATGGTCTGGACAGCTGGGCACTGTGAATGTGCCTAGGGGTGTGTCCCTGAGGGCATGCACACGTACCTGCTCAATGACAGAAGCTGCGACAGGCCCTTCCCTGGGAACACCAGCGTGTGAGGCAACGGCCTGCAGTGGTGGTGGCCACACAGCGGGGCACAGGCCTTCAGGGCCTGGAGCAGGGACCTGCCTGTCCCAGGCCGCTGGGAGGGTTTGCTGGAGGAGGTGGCCTGCTAGCTGGTTTTGGAGGTGGGCTAGGCCGGCCAAGGCCACTGCACCCTGTCTTCAGAAGGCGCTGGTGGGAGCCCATCAGCCCTGGCTCATCCCTGGAAGGGACCCAGCGTAGGGGCTGGTTTCTGGATGAGTGGAAGCTTCCTGCCCATCAGTATGATTGCAGGAGGTTGTGGGTATTTTGTTTGAGTTTGCATTTTAACAACAAGCTCAGTGCTCAGGCTGGTCCTAGACACCACCTCCCTCAAACATGGTGCTTCCAGGAGGGTGCTAGGTCAAGCATGTCAAACTCAAAGGCTAACAAGGGCCAAATAAACAAGGTTTAAGTTTGCTTGGGCCACAAAAAAACACACAAAAGTTTCCTAGAATAAACCTAGAAATGTAGGTTTATTTCGACAGAGACATCCTGAATACAAAGGACTAAAATAAACAAGTAATCATTAACATAAAATAATATAACTGAATAACTGCAGAAATTAATAAGTGTAATGCTAATAAACTTATTTTTCTCGTTCTCTGAAAGCAAAGTATTTCCTGTTGTGCACACCAAACAAGTCAGTACAAGACTAATGACGTGGCAATCAGCTGCTACAATATTCCTGCTACTATTAGTAGAGAGAAATAGTGCACCTGCGCATAATGGAAATGAATGCAACACGATTATAGTAATCAGTCATTAGCAAACATTGTAGTTTGTTATTAATAACATGGGTCTGAGATGGGGCCTGGGAGTCTGCATCTCTAACATGTCCTCACAGCGTGCTGATGCCACAGGCCTGGGACCCCATGTCTGGGCCACACGTTTCTCCTGACAGCAGTATCTGGGGGATTAGCTGAATGTCTCGTGGGGCAGAGTGAGGGGTGCTGTGTGGAATGGGGCTCCCTCCTGGGTGACCTGGTGTCCAGAGAGCTCCTGAAGAGGACCCTGTGCTGCTCATGAGTGAGGGTCCTGGCAGGGCCTCCTCAGCTCCCAGCTGCAGCCTCTTGGCCTCTCTGGGTCCATGTTCCTGCCATGTGGCTGAAGGGCAACTGTCCTTGGTTCCCACACTGTGCCCTGAATCCTGGGGCTGTCACTCTGTCACCTAGCCCACCCTGCACACACCTGCCACCGTTGCTGACTCTCACTAGGGGTCTGGGTGAGACCCTCACTGCAAAGGCCTCAGGAACTAGGGCTCCAGGATCTGGTACCCATGGTACATGGAGACACCAATGAGGGTTCTTCAGGAGGTGGCATGGGGCTGGGGAAGCATCATGGTTGTGCCAAATTGGACCCTGGTCCGGTTGGCCTTCTTGGCACCTGGGCTTCTCCCACCACCCACCCTACCTGTGAGATCCACCAGTCAGGTTTTGGAGACCTTCTAGGTCACCAGTGTCTGATCAGGACAAAGCCATGATCTAGCCTGACTAAGGACCTCTCACCAGGAGCATCTCCGAGGGGCCTCATGTCCAGTGGGCTTGCTTCCCACAGTCCCAGGCCCGGCTCCTGGGCAGAGGGGGAAGAGACACTAGTAATCTCAGTGATGTGAACGTGTGCCCCGAGCCCCAGGCATTGTGCTCAAGTAACAGCTCCTGTAACCACCAGGCATCTCTGAGGCAGGGAGACGGGTCTGCCGACAGGCTGAGGCCAGGTGGCTATGCTATGGCATTTGGAGCTGGGCAGTCTGGGGACTGCAGGCCTGGGCTTACAGGGCCTGGGTGTTTGCGGGCCTCTGGGATGGACAGCGTCCCTCTAGGTCTTAGTTGCAGCTCCAGGGATGCCCACTGGTCCTACAGGGGACAGACCCAGGCTCTCCCTGCACACACTGTGGGTAGTGCTTGGAGTGGTATGTGGCCTGTGTCCGTTAGCTTGTGCCGAGCGGGTGACAGTGCTTGTTCTGACATATGAATCTCTTCTGTGTGTGTATGTGTGTCCTGCCTGCCTCACCTTTAGCGTTTCCTCCGGAAATGACACTAGGTACAATCACTCTTCTGCACTCGCTTGGCCCTTCCTCTTCTGCGTTTCAATTTCCTTTCTCCTCTGATGTCTCCCCACGCTCTCTGCCCCTCTGTCGCCCGCTGCCCTTACCTCCCCTCCCCTGGATCTTTGTCCTCAGTGACCTACGTCCCACACAGCCCGGTCCCCTCCCACCGCTTAGTCCCGCGCCCCTGGGCCATGCCACAGAGAGAAGGGCAGCCAAGGTGCTGCCCATGCCCCTCGAGGCCTGGCTCCCCAGGCACCCTCCACACTCCTGGGCCTGTGCCACCGCCCGGCTTTGTGTTGACGTGTTTCTCAGCTGTGTCTCTGTGAAGATGCTTGGATGGAAACCGGGCGAGACAGGGGGCTGTGCAGCACTGCCCAGGGTCCACGGGGAGGCCACAGTGGGGACCGAGGCACTTTCCCCGCCTCCAATATGCAGGCAAGACTATAGGAGCTCTGCCGTCCATGGCTTGAGCGGCCCCCACCCAGGAGGGGTTTGCCGGCCCCTGGCTCGTGCTCGGCTCGTTATCTTTCCGAGCTGGAGACGGGGGCAGAGGAGAGGCCCAGCCTGCTCTGCCTGAGGGGAGAGCCTGGCTGCAGTGGGCAGTCTGCAACTGGCCGCCCGGTTTCCACTCCTAGCATCCTCCCCGAGGGCCTTTCCTCTCCCAGGGCCAAGTCGGTAATGGAGGAGGTGGGCCCTGGAGGGTGTTGCAAACTGGGGCAGGTTCCTTAGGGTCCAAGGGGAGACCATGGCACCTCCTTACTCAGACCGAGGCTCCCGCCCTGTCCCCACCCTTGTATCCTTTTCCTCACCCTCCCTGCTCTCAGCATGAGAGCTGTGGGCTGCCACGTGCTGCTCTTGGTCCACAGCGGAGGTGACAGCTGGGCCCACCCTGCTGGTGGCCTCTGGAGCGCGCTGCCCCCCCCCCCGTCCTGAGTAAGGAGGGGTCTGTCTTTCCTGGACGCTGCCCCCCCAGGCCTCCGGACCTGTGACCCCAGCGACACTCCCTGCGGGTCGCCCACATGTCTGTCTGTCCGTCTGCATGTCCCCACCCCAACCCAGTGTGGCTTGCACGTCATTATCTTACCTTCTCTCTGTTCCCGTCAGGACCTTTTACCAGTTCGAGGCTGCGTGGGACAGCTCCATGCACAACTCCCTCCTGCTGAACCGCGTCACCCCGTACCGGGAGAAGATCTACATGACCGTCTCTGCTTACATTGAGGCAAGACTCCTATGCCCAGGCACACCACCGAAACCACCTGTCCCCCGAGCCTGCCCAGGGCAAGGAGGGCGAGTGCGCTCTGGACAAGCCCACATGGCCCTGCTGTCCCCCAAGTCCTCGTGGCCTCCATGCACCTCGAGTGGCAGTGCTGTCGGCCCACCCGTGTCTTTACTGGGTGGGCTGTCGGTTGGCCAGGTGGCATCGGTGCTCCAGGCAGCCCAAACACAGACGCCTCCTCCCCATCCCCAGGGCCTGACACACAGAGCAGGCTGCGAGCCAGGGCGAATCTAGTGGGTCCAGTAGCCAGGAATCTGGAAGTTTGGGGTCAGCATCAGAGGTGAGGGCATCACCCCACTCAGAGCCTACTCCTCCGTCTGTAATGGCTCTGCCCAGACAAGGCCCCCGTGCCCATTGGCTTTGTTAGAGTTACAGCTGAGCTTCAGGAACACAAAGAGCAGCTGTTTATGACATCACATCCGCCACCGAGATGTGGTCTGTGGCGGGTTAGAGGCACGTGTGGGTGGATTCTCACAGACATGTTGTGCGGCGTGTCTCGGATCGATGGTGAGGCAGCTGAGGCCCGAGACGGTGACCCTCGGGGCCTCTGCACAGAAGCTGGTCCTGGGCAGCCCTGTGAGGCAGGGCCTGCTACCTCTGCCGGGAGGTGCTCCAGTGAGGAGCAGGGACTCTCCCGCCTGCTCTGGGGCCATGCGGGGCCGGGTCAGTGCCGTGGCTCTTGCCCCCAGGAGGTTAGAAGGGGGTGTCCCTGTGCTTGAGCCCCGATTTCCCTGTCCCCGCAGATGGAGAACTGTGCCCAGCCGGCCGTCATCACCAAGGACTTCTGCATGGTCTTCTACTCCCGAGACGCCAAGCTGCCCGCCTCACGCTCCATCCGAAACCTGTTTGGCAGCGGGAGCCTGCGGGCCTCGGAGAGGTGAGCTGCTGGAGTGGGCAGGGCGCCCTGGTCACCCAGAGACCGGACTGCTTGGGATGCTGGGGCCCGGGCTGACGAGAGCCCAGCTTGTCTGCTCCTGGATGGCACTCTGCTCTCAGCCCTTCTCCTCACCCTGATGTTGGGGTTGTTGGCAGCCAGGGGGCATGTGTGGGACACCAATGGCATGTTAGGGAGCCACACTGTACCCCACCACCAGGTGACCTTTCCCGCGGCTACAGGGGTCTGGGCCAACAGGGCCCCTCGCCTGCACACGGGGGAGGAAGGATAAATGTGGGGGCGGGCACCAGGCCGGCAGAGGACTCGGGATGGATGATGGCAGCACCTGAGGGTCAGACTCTAGGACCAGATGTGCCTCTCACACTCCCACCACTCCTTGCACTCTGGGGGGACAGTGTTAAGGCAGTGAAGTTCCCCTCATGCTCTGTCCTATGGACCCCCCATGTCCAGGCCACTCTGGGCACAGCTGGGAGGAGAGCGTGGGGGGGTCAGGACTCAGTGGCCTTGGGCTGGCCATGACCAGGCATCTGAGAGGTCCACAGGAGTGTCGGTGGGTGCCCTTGGCAGACTCGGCAGTCCCAGGGAAAAGGGGTCTGAGATGGAGCCTCTCCGTGTAGGGCTGCAATGTGGGGCCTGGCACCCAGCTCCCCACTTTGAGGCCACTGCAGGGGCAGGCCAGGGCAGGTGCCCAAGGTGCATTTGATGGTGGTGGGAGTTGGGTCCTGGGCATCCCGGTGCTTAGTTACAGCATGTCCCCCTCTGCTCCCCATAGCAACCGTGTGACCGGTGTATATGACCTCAGCCTGTGCCATGTGGCCGATGCAGGCAGCCCAGGTAGGTGTCTGTCCTGCTCTCTGTGGCAGGCGGGGCGGGGGTGGCACTTAGTTGCGAGTCACTGGGGTTCTCTCGGTCACTCCAGGTGACGTCAGCGAAGCTGCCATTTGGGGGGTTCCTTCCCTATGAGAAGCACGGGCCTCTCATAGGGAAGGGGGACAGTAAGGGGAGGGGGGGGGGGACAGTGAGGGGAGAGGCAGCAATGGGAAGGCAGGCAGAAGGGAGGGCATCCCAAGCTCTCACCCCCATGGGACGCGATGCTGTAAGACTTTCCTTGGGCGAGCCCAGGGTGGCTCTGAGGGTGGACCAAGGGTTAGGGGGGGGGGAGCTGCCCCAGGGCCCTGACCCTGCACCCCCGGCAGAGACGTGGTTAGACAGGTGCCCCTTTTCAGGGATGCAGCGACGGCGCCGTCGGGTGCTGGACACGTCTGTGGCCTACGTGCGGGGTGAGGAGAACCTGGCGGGCTGGAGGCCCCGCAGTGACAGCCTGATCCTGGATCACCAGTGGGAGCTGGAGAAGCTGAGCCTGCTGCAGGAGGTGAGTCTGTGGGCGTCCCAGGCCACCCCAGGTCAGAGCGGGCCAGGGCACTCACACTGCTATCAAGGACCTAATTGCAGAGGGCTGTCGGCTTGCAGACAGAGACCAGAAATCAGGATGGGCAAGGCCCTCAGTCACTAAGTCCGGGAGCCAGTGTCCAGCAGCTGTGGACAGCATGCAGCAGAGGCCCATGCCCACGCTCTGGGCACCGCAGGCTGTTGTGTCAGAGTTCGAGTGTCCATCTGCTCAGGGCTGGCACAGGCTGGGCAGGAGGCCAGGCTGGAAGGAGGGCAGCGTGTTGGCTGCGGGGGCTGATTCCCGTCAGCAGCGAGGCCTCAGGTCGCTTTGCTCTCCCAGGATCTGACCTGGGGCCCTGGAGCTCAGGGGGCTGCCCGCCCTGCTCTCACCCTCGAGTGCAGCAGGTGAGGTCATGCTCTGGCTCTCGGGTGCAGGTCGAGAAGACCAGGCACTACCTGCTGCTGCGGGAGAAGCTGGAGACCACCCAGCGGCCCGTCCCCGAGACGCTGTCCCCGGCCTCCAGCGAGGACTCCGAGTCCCGCAGCTTGTCCAGCGCCTCCTCTCCTGATGGCCGACCATCGCCCCTGGAAACTCCCAACGAGAGGCAGAGGGAGCTGGCCGTCAAGGTAGGGCAGTTGGGCGGGTGGTCAGCATGGCCATGACCCAGCCCCTGCAGGGCTCCAGTGATGTGGCCTTGACCATGCTGGCTCTGTCAGGGCTCGGAGCTGGCAGAACGAGGGGCCTATAGAGTCCCCTTGCCCACAGCCCCCACCGCACCTACACTGGAATTTGGGAGCCTTTTACAGCCTTCTCCCTGAGCAGTGTCATGTCCTCTCCTGGATGCCTACATCAGTGGGGAGCTGACCACCCGAATCCCAGCCCATTTTGCAGCGGGAGCCCACCAAGCAGGCCTTCGCCCAGGCCCCGGCATGCCTTGGGAGGTTTCCCTGGCTTGCCCATCTTTTTAGAGGCCTGAAGGTGCTCCCACCTTGACCTGCAGTCTGGGCACCTGGGCAGGTCTCTGTGCTATTGGGGGCTGAGCCCTCTGCCGAGCCTGGTCCCAGGAGACTCCTGACTGGTGTTTGCTGTTCCTGCAGTGTTTGCGCCTCCTCACGCACACGTTCAACAGAGAGTACACACACAGCCACGTCTGCATCAGCGCTAGCGAGAGCAAGGTGGGCACTGCGTCAGGCCCGGAGCCCCCACCCTGGCTCATGGCCTTCCACACCAGTGTCCCATGGCACTCCAGCCTTCCTGGGTCCTCACTCCCCACCCCACAGCCTGCCTTGCCTGCCTCTGTCCTCTTCGCTGGCCTCTCCCTCTACCCGGGAGGGCCTCTCCCCATAGTCCTCAGGGTGCACGTCCTAAAGTCTGGCTCAGCCACACCTTCCCAGCACCTCCCAGTGTGGTCCTCGATGCTCTTTGAAGCCCTACAGCCATGAGTCCCTTGTGGGGCTGGGAGGGGTGGGAGGGGTGCCCTCAATGAGGTCAAATATCAGCAGGAATCGGCCACTGCCTCGGTGTCCCCACCACGAGACCGTCCCCTTCCTGTGTTCCCTGTAAAAGACTCTCTCCTCCACAGCTCTCTGAGATGTCCGTCACACTGCTGCAGGACACGTCCCTGTCCCCTCTGGGGGTGGCCACACTCACTCCCTCCTCCACCTGTCCCTCTCTGGTCGAAGGGCGGTATGGAGCAGCCGACCTGAGGTGAGTGAGCCTTCAGCTCTGCAAGACTACCGATAACGATGGCCGGGACACAGGCACAGAGTGTGGAGAAGGGGCGCGGGGGGCCAAGTCACTCGGGGCAGCCAGGCATCCAGGACGGGCCTGGTGGCATGGGGTCTGCAGGCATTGCCCCCAGAGTCTGCCCTGTGCCTACCCGCATCATGTGAGCGTGATGTCCTAACCTTCTTTCTGAGACCATGTTCTGCTGACACATACATTTAAAATTAGCCCCGAATAAAAGCAGGAACAGGTCAAATAGCACAAAACAAGAAACCCTTTCCATGGGGCAGCGCTCATAAATGCTCGGTGAGAAAACCCTGATCCCTCTGCTGCAGGCAAGGACACGCGGCAGCGGAGCGGAGCTGTGCTGGGAAGAGACCCTCCCCATACACTGCGGACATGGCTTATGTCTGATCATCCAATTTTAAATCCCGTGGCATTTCCTAAACTTCTTCTTCTTCTTTTTTTTTTTTGAAAATATTTTATTGATTTTTTTTTTTACAGAGAGGGAGAGAGATAGAGAGTTAGAAACATCGATGAGAGAGAGTCATCGATCAGCTGCCTCTTGCACACTCCCTAATGGGATGTGCCCACAACCAAAGTACATGCCCTTGACTGGAATCGAACCCGGGACCCTTCTATCCACTGAGCCAAACCAGTTTCGGCCTACATTTTTTCTTAAAAAGAAAAAGAAATGGCATTGAATCCTCTGGCTGTCTTCCTGGGCACCAGGTCCAGTCATAGGGCCTGGCATGGGCCATGGGGCCATGGGCCAGACGGTCCCTGAGAGACTTGTGTCTCTTTCAATTCGATTTGGAGAATGACGAGTGGCTACAACCACCTTTATGGGTAAAGGGGGAGGGGCAGAGAGCACCACGGGAGAGAGGTGTGGAGCCCCTCACAGCTGACCCCTTCCCACAGTGTCCAGCACAATCCTGGACTCAGGCGGGTGGGCCAGACCGTGGGTGTGGCGGTCAGACAGCCAGAGGTGCCCACAGCGGCTCTGAGAGCATGAGACCCCATCAGGAGCCTGGGGAGGGTGGTTCTGGGCCCAGCGAAGGGCAGCAGCGTCCCTCCTCTCCCCCAGGAGCCTGCAGCCCACCTCCCGGCCGGCCAGCCCGGAGCCCGAGAGTGTGCCGGAGGCCGATTCCAAGAAGGTCCTCTCCCCTGCTCGGGCCACGGAATCGGACAAGGAGCCCCAGCGCCTGCTGGTTCCCGACATCCAGGAGGTCCGGGTCAGGTACGCAGGTCACCAGCCAGCCTTGTCCCCTGACCTAGGGCTGGGGGAGGTCAGACATGGCCCTGGTGGTAATGTGTCTGCAAATGACCAGTGTGGCCATCAGGCAGATGTCCTGAGCACAGCACTGTTGATGGGTGTGGCCGAGGGTCACAGCATGACAGGCTGGGGCAGCTGCAGCCTTCCTACACTTTTCCGTCTTACAGCGGGGGGCGCAGCTCAGGGATGGTTGGTGGTTCTGGTCTCCGGCCTCCCAGGATGGGGTCTTGCCAGGTCCCCAGGTGCCTCTGCCCTGGCTGCTCCTCCCAGAGACCTGCTGGTGGCACGGCTGGGGACCTGGCTGGTGGTGGACAGTGGCCTCCGAGCTGGGGCCTCCCACTGGCTGCCAGGAGGGTGTGACGAGCAGACATTCCTGTCCTGCAGCCCCATCGTCTCCAAGAAAGGCTACCTGCACTTCCTGGAGCCGCACACGGCCGGCTGGGCCAAGCGCTACGTGGTGGTGCGGCGGCCTTACGCCTACATGTACAACAACGACAAGGACACCGTAGAGAGGTTTGTGCTCAACCTCTCCACCGCCCAGGTGGAGTACAGCGAGGACCAGCAGGCCATGCTCAAGGTGCGGCCACAGAAATGGGATGGGCGGGCCCTGGGCTGGCAGGACACAGTGCGTCCAGGCAGGGAAGGAGAGGGCAGGAGCCGGGGCTCCTACCACCCATGGGGCTCATAGTCCTGGTGGCAACAGGGTGATGGTGGGACAAGCATTAGCCTTCTCCATTCGAGGACCCACATCCCCGTCCGCTCCTGAGGATGCCCATGGTGGGTTGGGTCAAGCCACACAGGCCAGGAGTGCTGTGGGCCCAGGAGTCCAGCCCCCTTACCCCAGTTTGCCCCTGCTCCTCTGAGTAAGCACAGCTGTGGATGTGGGTGCTGGGAGCCCTGATTCGGTCCCTCAACCACTACAGTGGCCCTAGGTGATTCTTGATTCCCTGGGGTGGGGGTGGGAACTCAAACCACAATGCCAAGGGCTCAGGCTTGAGAAGAAGGGAGCCCAGGGTTACGGGGCCCAGTGGACATATCTGGACCACAGCTGTGCCAGGGTCCCAGGGGAAGGAGCCTTGGCCCATGAGGTGGGGACACAGAGCAGTGTGGCAAGGGGCCCTGGGGCATGAGAGTAGATGGGTATCCTGCAGAACCTTCTGGGCTAGGCCGTGCACACTGCAGAGAGCTCACATGGCCCTGCCCGCGCCCCCCTCCCGTGGGTCTCCCCTCTTGCTCCCTCCTCCCTGGCTGAGTGCTGACCCCAGGGAGGGGCGGTGCCTCTCACAGCGTGGTGCTTTGCAGACGCCCCACACTTTCGCTGTGTGCACGGAACACCGCGGCATCCTGCTGCAGGCCAGTAGCGACAAGGACATGCACGACTGGCTCTACGCATTCAACCCGCTCCTGGCCGGGACCATACGGTAGGGCCACCTCAGACCTGGGTGGGTGTTTCCACCTCCACCGGGACGGGGGAGGGGGCAGGCCTGGGAAGTCCTCGGGGACGCCGATGTTCCTGTTTGTCATTGCTGCTCACCGAGGGGATAAATGCCCCCAACTTCCAAGCTTCACCTGCCACCACGGTGTACTTTTCTGTAGGGAAATACCTCGGTGTAGGGAATAGCCAGGCCCTCCCTCTCCGTGACTTCACAGGAGTCACAGTGACATGTCTCTCCGGTGATAAGGGAGCCAGAGGGGCCTGGGGCCAGTGAGCTGCAGGCTCCGTCCTCCCTGAGCTCTGCTTCTCTCCCAACCCTGCCGCAGGTCCAAGCTTTCCAGAAGGAGGTCTGCCCAGATGCGGGTCTGAGTGGAAGACGCCCCCCTCCAGACAGCCAGCAGGCCCGGCCTGCCCCCTCTCACCATCCGTCTGTCTTTGCCACCCAGCCCTTCCCACTAGACAGCCAACAAGTCCCCAGAGGCGCCGTGCTGGGCCAGCGAGCCCGCCTCTGGCCGGGACCTGCACCACATGACCGTCATGCTCCCAGTGGAGGCCGTGTTTGTCATCATTCCTTCTCTGAGACTGTGCCCGGGGGGGAAGAGCTGGGAGGTGCTGGAGAGACCAGAGGGCACCAGTCAGGGGCGTCGGTGACGTTCTAATATTTTTTTAAGCATAGACAGACTTATAATTAATATACAGTAGTTAGCGACATGGAAATAGTCCACTCAGAAGTTAACTATAAGACTGTATTCTATTTATAAGTATTTATTTCTAACGACCTTTAGGATTCAGATGGACCCTGTTCCCGCTTGTTCCCTCACCAACCTCCCAAGCCTCTTAGGGACAGACAGGGTGGGGGAGCTGCCTCGGAAGACCACAGTGAGGTTGCTACCACTGGGGCACCTGCCTGAGGGCTCTCCCCAGCTGCCCACGGGGCAGGCCCTCGTCCTGGGGTGTGTGCCTGCGTCAGGGGGACCTGATGCCCAAAGTCCTAGCAGCACAGAAGGTGGTGTGTGTCGCTTCTAGCAGGAGGTACAGCCCACATCTCACCTGCACAGCAGCCACCTGAGATGTGACTCCCAGCAGTGCCGGTGCAGCTCCCGGGAGGGTGTGGGAGATGAGGAAGGTGTGGGGCTGCAGGGGCTATGCTGGCGGGGTCGGGAAGGAGGGGCAGGAGCCCACGCTCATGTCATGTGTCCAGGCAGGTAGGGCGAGGCTGGCTGGGGTTAGAGGTTGTCCAGACAGTGTGGGGCTTGAGGTATAGCTCCTCCAATTGCTGTGAGAAATGGGGTGAGCTCAAGGTTGTTCCTGGAAAGAAAGTCTGAGATTTCCCCTCTTTGCCCCAAGAAAAGAGAGTTCCCATGAGTACCAGTGAGAATATGCCATGGACTCCTCCTCCTTCTGCATCAGATTTGCCACCATTGTCTTGTTCTGGCCCCTCTGCAGACCCCATGCCCAAGGGTTGGCCAGGACAGGACAGGAGTCAGCGCAGGCCGACAGTCTGGCCGAAGGTCCTGTCCAGGCCCTAATCCCAGCAGAGAAACCACAGGGCCTAGGGGTCTCCTGAGACCTGTTTTCACACCCGAGGCACATAGGGCCTCTTTTTAGATCAAGAAAAAACAACAAAACTATCCCCACCAGAGCGGGCTTCACTCGGCCCCAGGTTCATGCCCAGCCTTGCTGGTCCACAGCTTTCTCTGGCACCTCCCTCCATCCTTGGGCCTGCTGGGCACCGCTCACTGACACCAACTTCCACTTGGCTTGGAGGACTCCAGCTCACCCTGAGACAGCGGTTCTGAGACCCACTCTGTCCCCAGGTGGTGCTGACATGACACATGGACATTCCCACGGTCCTGGGCACTCAGGCCAGAGTGCCCCCAGCTCCTTCCTCTAAGCATGTGTGGTGTGGGCTCCTGTCCGAGGGGTAAGGTTCCAGTGAGGTTTTCCTTTTGGAAAGTTAAGCTTAGCCTCAGATGAGGGATGCAGGAGGGCGGACCCTGTGGCAGCCATGTGTGCCCACCAGCCTGCATGAGCCCAGCTGGCAGCCCTTCCATCCCATCCTGCACTGAACTCAGTGCTATCCAGAAGCAGGGACAGTGCTCACCTCCACAGGTGTTCCGGAGGGGCTGAGCTGAGACGCACAGGAGAGGACCTAGTCTGGGACAAACAGTGGCTTTTATGACAGCCTGTGGCCAGGAGAAGAAGGGAGGGGTGAGTTCTAAGGCAGGTTCCCCAGGGCCCAGCCACGGCCCACTCAGGTCAGCCAGCCTGAGGGCCTGGCTTCAAGGGGGTCTGAGGCCTTCGCATGAGGGCACAGGTGTCTGAGGCCAGCCAACCTGCAGAGCACCTGTTTCCTCGGCAGGGCTGAGGGAAGGGGCCCACAAGAGGGTTTCCGGAAATCACCCCAAGTTCAGGAGCCTCCACGGCCATGGAGGCTTCCAAAAATTGTTTCATTCTGGCCTGGGCCAACTTGGAAGTGGTGAGGAGCCAGGGGTGGACCTGATGTCCCTTCCCGGCCTGCGGTAGCAAGAGGTCCCAGGTCCAAGTCCAGACACCCAGAGTCACCGGAGAGAAAGCCCATGCGGAGTCAGGAAGCCTGGTCTCTGTGCCCGCCCTGCCCGAACCTCCATGTGTCATGTTAGCTGAGACAAGACGCTTAACAAACTGGGACTTCGTTTCCACATCTGTGACAAGTGAGGCTCATCTGGGGGCCCCCCCGAGGGTCTTCACCCTTCGGGGTGCAGAGAGCAAAGTCCGGTCTAGTGTGGCTCCTGTCCCCCCTGAGTAGGAAGGAGAGAGAGACTCAGAAAGCCAACTCTCTGATGGTTTTTGTTTGAATGCTGGATGTTGCTCAGGGTGCAGCCTCATTTTGTTTGAAAGACAGCCATGCTTGTCCGGATCCGGCTCTCTGTCCCTCCAGCGGAGTGTGAGTTCCTTCCAGAGGCCTAGGGAGAGGCCCCGGGAGGGGATGCTGGGCTCAGGCCGGCTGGCCGTGGCCTCCAATAACCCGCTGGTGTCCAGGGTGGGTTAACGTGCTCAAGAGTTGCAAGGACTCCCTGTTCTAAATAACCACTCCTAAGATGTCAATGTTTCATTCTGACCCCACACCCGTGCGCACGTGTGCGCACACACACACACACACACACCCAGGCGGCTGTGTGAGGCAGTCCCACCTCAGGCGGGTGTGGTGAAGTGCTGGGGGAGGGGTGAGCAGGCTGCCATGATGGTCCTCTGAACAGCAGGCTGTGGCTTCTTCCTGGGCCCGTGCTTCCTGTAGCTGCCTGTCCCCGGGGCTCCCTGTGGCTTGTACATACGTGGTTGTGTGGCACACCCGCCCCTGCACCGTAACTGCCATCCTGCCGTGATGATTCCGTCCCCGAGGTCCCCCACCCGAGTGTTAGCTCTAGGCTCCGGTACTGTGTGCACCTACGCTCTGTCCAGTTACAAATAAACGTGTTCCTCACGCAGCACCAGCGCGGGCCTCTGCTGTGCGTTATTTGTACATCGGGTCACGGATGGCGGATCTTAGACTTGTCACAAAGGTTGAGAAGTTGGGCAAAATAGATCTTAGACATACGTGTAAAACACAAAACGGTAACACTTCTAGACTTACCAAAATGCATCACTGAGAAAACAACTGGGAACCGGGAGAAGGTGTTTGTATAGCAAGGTTAGGACAAAGGATTTGTATCCAGGATATATAAGAATACATGAGGCATCATTATAACTCAGTAATAAAAAGGCAAACACAATAAAAAACAAACAAACAAAAAAAAAACACACGAGCAAAAAGTGTTTGATCAATAAGCTCACAGCAATGTGCTTAGCATCCTCTGTCATCAGGGAAATACGATTGAAACCAAGGGAAATACGATCGAAACCATAAATAAAGGAAGTGAACTCTGGGTAAGGTAGACAATGTGTGTGAATCTTCACACCAACGTCCTTCACAGCCCACACGTCTCACCCGTGGCTCTTGTGTCACATACCATGGCTGCCTAGGCAACGCCGTGCCAGCTTTATTCGTATCAGGCAAAAACCAAAAGAAAAAATTACCTAAGTGATCACATCAGAGAAATGGGCACACCAGCTGTGGTCCGTCCTTACATGGGATCCCATTCAGCAATAAAAGGTCAGTGCCCCTCACAGCCCCGGGCTCCGGGGACAGGTCCCTGTCCATGAGAAACTCGAGCCTGTGGGAACAAGAGCCAGAAGGGTGGGCGAGCAGCACCGGGAAGGAAGGCGAGAGGCCCGGGGACGGTGGGACTGTTCCCTTCCTGGGTGACTGCGTTTGTCACAAGGGTGGACGTTTCCGCTGAAGGCTGATGAGCCTCCCTTTATGTTTTATCTAAAAATCAAAAAGTACCCAAAATAAAAAGTGAGTCGACATTGAGTGACACTGAGCCCGGCGTGCTCACGGTGGGCTGTGACCGTGCCTTCTGTGTGTTCTGCGTGGACGCGTGGAGACGGAGGGCCAGGTCCCCACCAGGTGGGAGCAGGAGGTACAGGTATAGACGAAGGCATGTGGGTGCTGGGGATGGAATGAGAGGCCCAGCATGGACTCACGCTCCACATGATCCCTGAGGGAACCTTGGCTCGCCTGTGCCCAGTCTCTAGGTCTCCGTGGCTTCAGATTGTCCCCCCACTCTCCTGAGAGGGCTGGGCCTCGGGCGAGGACAGGACAGGGGCAGCTCTCTCCCCAGGCTGGAGTCTGCCCGGGTTTGTCTGCCATCCAGGGTGAGGTCTGGTGGGCAAGGGGATTGGTGGGCGGGTTTCCTACAGGGCTGCCCAGGGTGGAATGTTGGTTGGTGTTAACTTCACCCTCTCAGTAAAAGTCTTGGACCTCAAAATTGGGGACAACCAGGAAAACAGCCAGTTCCTTGTCCTCCATGCTGTGGGCTCCCCTTCCTGGGTCTCAGTCTCCCTTCTGTGCAGGGAGAGTCTGGCAGGCACAGGTATTGGATTAGAAAAATAAAAATGGAAGGGAGGGGGAGTGGGCAGGACACAAGCCCTCTGTTCCCCAAAACAGGTTCTGGTGGGATGAACACAAGGGGGCACTGTGTGCACCCTGCCCATGGAAGGCGCTGCCACAGCTCCAGGGAGCCAGCTCCAGAGCCCGGCAGCATGCGGGCCCCAGGGTCTGCTGGGGTGCGGCCAGGTGACATCATGCTCAGCGGGACTCTCAGGAAGGAAATTCAAACCAATTTTGATGGCAGTGTTCCTGACTCCCGGGTCCCTCTGGACTGGAGAGACATGGCCCAGGCATGGGTCTGTGTGGCACATAGTGGGTGTGGGGAGGCATTCACAGGTAATTCTACGTGCCAAGGGCCTGGGGTCTGAGTGCAGCCCCTGAACTCCCCAGCCAGCCACGTTGCTCTCCTAGAAAAGCATTTTATGTGTCAGCACTGCCATGCAGAACACTCACCACATATAGTGAGGTGGGCCTTTCTGCTGGCAGCCCTTGTGGAGCCCCCGTGGCTTCCTTGTGGGGTAACCAGGCCCCACAGATGGCTGCCTTCATGCAGGGAACTGGTGGCGTGTGATCCAGAGGGCAGGCAGAGCCAGGGACCTGCCCAAGTGGGGCCTCAGCCGAGGCCCAGGGAGCTGCCAGGCATGGAGCTGGGAGCCTGGGTGTGGCATGGCGCTCGATGGAAGCTTTGAAGAGCTCTGGCCAGGCCGCAGCCCTGGGCTGGCTGAGTGGGGCGAGTGCCCCTGTGTGTCTCACACCCTGGGGAAGATGCCTGGCTGAGGGCCGGTCCGCTCTGGGCGTTCCTGGCTCTGCTCCTGGGCCTGCAGCAGGTGGATGGAGGTGAGGGTGCAGGTGTGGCGTTCCCAGGAGTGCCAGCCCAGATGGACGCTTCCACAGCTCCCCCGCCCTTGGGTGCTGGGGTGGGTCAGCCCTGACACGTCAGCTCAGGTCCCCTGCTCAGCCTGGCTCCATAGAGCCCCCGGGCCGATGGCTGGTCTGAACGTGTCTCTCTTGTTCTTCTTGGCCACCATTGCCCTGTGCCAGGCGGCCAGGAGGGCGGCCAAGGCCCTGCTCCCCAAAGGTGCCTACGTCAGCTTCGCCCTGGAGGCGGCAGGCGCGGCCCAGCTGGGGGCCTGCTGCCTGGAGATGCGGATGCTGGCAGAGCTGGGCCCCTGGGCCGGGGGCTTCGGGCCCGACCTGCTGCTGACCCTGCTGTTCCTGCTCTTCCTGGCACACGGGGCCACCTTCGACGGGGCCTCGGCCAACCCCACGGTGTCCCTGCAGGAGCTCCTCCTGGCTGAGGCCTCTCTGCCCCGCACTCTGCTCAAGCTGGCGGCCCAGGGGCTGGGCATGCAGGCGGCCTGCGCCCTGACCCGGCTCTACTGGGCCTGCGAGCTCAGCGACCTGCACGTCCTGCAGAACCTCATGGCCGAACACTGCAGCTCGGCCCTGCGCACGACCGTCGCCCATGGCGCGCTGGTGGAAGGTGCCTGCGCCTTCGTCTTCCATCTGGCCCTCCTCCGCCTCAGGAATAGCCTTTCTGTCTACAGAGTGCCAGCCGTAGCCCTGCTAGTCACCGTCAGCGCCTACACAGGTGAGACCTGGCGTCTCTCCCCTGCGTCTCCTCCGAACCTCTGCCTCAGCGGCTGCCGTACTGCCAGCAGCTGTGGGCAGGAAAGGGGCTGCCTGCTGAGGGGCCTGCAAGCCACAGACACTGGGGAGGCCATTCCCTGGGAAGCGGGTGGTGGTGTGACCGGTGGGGCTGGGCACGGTGTGGCAGGTGGGACCCCAGTTCCCCGTCAGGGCCTCCTTCCTGGCTAGGCCTCCCCACACTTCGAGCTCCTTCCAGAAGCTGAACCAGCGGGAAGGCCCACTCACTATACGTGGTGAGTGTTCTGCATAGCAGCATGGACACGGAAATGCTTGTCTAAGGAAGCAAGGTGGCCGGCCGGCTGGGGAGGTCAGGGGCAGAGGGGCAGCCAGCCGTTTCTCCAGGGTGCGGCCCAGGCTCCAGGCTGCAAGCTCTGCGTCTTGTCACCCCTTCCTAGGGTGCCGGGTCCTGTCCTTTCTTCCTCACCCAACTCTCCACCTCCCTTGTCGGCACCAAGAGCCTACTGAGGTGGCAGCAGACACTCCATCCCGCTTTGGGGTTACGCCCCCACCACTGACCAAATATGCCCAGGTGTACTGGCTGGTCCCTCAGCCCCTGTGGGAGCTGCCCTGAACCTCCCCCGGCCCTGCTCTGCATTTGGCCCTTAGATGGAGGTCACCTATTCTGAGGTCCCTGCCTGGGCCTGCCCCCAGTGTGACAGGGCCTTTCCCACCTTCGTGGGAAAGCGAGAGCCAGTGACCACAGACCTTACTTTCCAGCTGTCCCTGAGTTGGGAACAGAGCTGGGCCAGGACGTGGAGAAGCCAGGCTGGGCCCTGAGGTCTGTGAGATTTGCCCTAGGAGGGCCCTGCTGGGTTGCACACTCCCCCACCCCTCCGGCACCAGGGATGGGGTCAGGGTAGGACAGCAGCGCCTCTCCGGGAGTGGCTGCGGTGCCCCTGTGCTGGGTGTGGACAGGAGCCCTGCACTTGTCAAGCTCCGTGGGAAGGGCGCCTATGGCCGTGGCTGCGCTCAGGGCAGCTGTCAGGCTCCAGGCGTGGGGAAGACACAGCAGGAAGGGGCTGAGGCCGAGCTCTCCAAGGTCTCCATTCCTGGGGTCCGCAGGGAGGGCAGAACCAGCTCTGAGGGCCCACTTTCCATGTCGCTGACTGTGGCACCTTGGCCACCAATGGCCAGAAAGCTGCCACTGGGCCCCATACACGGGGGGGGGGGGGGGGGGGGGAGTCGAGGCAGGGCTGAGCAGAGAGCTTGCCGGCACAGAGCTCTGCGGCCAGGTGGCTGAACACTCCCCTGAGGTGGCACCCAGGAGCTCCTGCTGTCTGCACAGGACCCACCAGGCGCCTCCCACAGAGTCAGCACCACTGCCCATGCCTGGCCTCCACCTGCAGGCTTCAGCTCCCTGTCCATGAGGCCCAGACCTGCCCCGGGAGGCCCCTGCTCACTGGGGTCTGCCTGGCCTGGGGCTCAGGGACGCTGGCCCAGCTCTGGCTGCTTGTCCAATTCTCCCCTCAGTCCTGGTGCTGCTATGTTCCACAATCTCTTTGTCTCTGTCTGTCTGTCTGTCTGTCTGTCTTTATCTGCCTCCCTATCTTTCTGTTGGTCTCCCTGTCTGGGTGCCAAGAGCCCCCCTAGGCCAGGGCACAGTAGGATTCAGGGTGGAGATTTTGAAGGGTAGCTCTGGTCCAGGTAGGACCACACGAGGCCTGTCTGTGCTTCCTCCACAGCTGGACCCCTCACATCTGCTTTCTTCAACCCCACCCTGGCCGCCTCAGTTACCTTCCACTGCTCAGGGCACACCTTGCTGGAGTATGCCCAGGTGTACTGGCTGGGCCCTCTGACAGGTAAGGGCTGGCGGGGGTCACTGGGGACCCCAGGAGCTCCCAGGGGCAGAGGCAGGGCTAGCCCTGGGCGTGGCTCACGGTTGGGAAACAGGCCACACAAACATCCTGGCAGGCCAGCCTGCAGGGTCCAGCTTTCTGATGGAGAGTCTATTCAGGGGCTGCTTTCTTTGGGGAGGGGAGGGAGCCGGGTCAAGTTCCCAGGCTGCTGGCACCCCCTCCCCCAGCCAGGTCTGCAATTCCCTGCCCCCATCCTGGGGGGGGGGGGGTGCTCAGGTGACTCAGGCTGCAAGAAGCCCGAGGGCCCTATGTCTGACACTCTGTCTCCTGCAGGGATGGTGCTGGCCATCCTGCTGTACCACGGCCACCTTCCCCGCCTTTTCCAGAGGAACCTGCTGTACGGTCAGAAGAACAAGTATCGAACCCCCAAAGGGAAGCCAGCCCCGGGGCCTGAAGGCCCCCAGACACCCACAGAGGGCTGCAGAGGCCAGGAGCCCGGGCAGAGGCGGGCGAGGCAGCAGCCACTGGGCTCCCTGTGGAGCTCCATGTGGAGGCCAGGCCCCTGGCTGAGGGGCACGAAACCTGCCCCCACTGCCTCCCCAGAAACCATCCGTCAATAAACCGCCCCAGCCCTGCCCGTCTCCCTGGCCTAGTAGAAGCCTCTGAAGAGGCGGAGGCTGGTCTTAGTCCCCCGCATCGTTTCACAAGGTCCGTCCCGCCTCTTCCTGAGTCAGAATCAAAGGCAAGACTGAGGAGGAAAGGCCAAAGTGCAGGCAGGCAGCCTAGGCCTGGGAAGACCCGAAGGCGGAGTCTCCCACAGAGGGCTCCTGGCTGCCCTGCACACGCCCCTGCCCCGCGGCCGGGAGCTCGAGCGGCTAGGACACCCTGAACTCTGCTGGGAGGTTATGGGTGGTGCCTGGAGCCTGAGGCTGCAGGGGAGTGGGCCAGTCCAAGGGCCCCAACCCCTTCATCCACAGCACCCTGGACCTCAAGGCAGCAGGTCCTCAAAGCCAGGTTAACCCTTGCCAATCACAGGGCCTTCAGGGCAGACATTCTCTCCCTTCCCCCCTCACTCCTCAGCCATTTCCTCCCCAGAGTGGACCTGGAATCTTTCACCCCAAGAGGCCAGAGGCCCCTCAACTAGGGGTCCTGGAGCCCCATCCAGCCCTCGGCCCCACCCTACCGTCCAGCTGAGGACAGGAGGGAGAACCAAAGACAGGTCCTGGTCAACTTCTCCCTGGGACACCACCCAGGGAAGGTCCAGGAGAGAACCCCCACCCCACTTCCCATGGCTCCCGACCCAGCCTGGCAGTGCAGCTGCTCTATCTGAACCCCAGCCTCCTCTCCTCCTTGGAGTGGCCCCCGGTGAGTAAAGGAGCCGGGACACCTAGCATTAGGGCCTGAGAGCCAGTTGCGCGTCTTCCAGAGTGCTGGGCGGAGGCTTCCAGAAAGAGAGCCCCGAGCGAGTGCACAGGGGTGGAGAGGGCCACCAACCCCCCTCAAAGGAGGCCTGTGTGGACCAGCAGGCGGTGCTGGGGGAGGGGCAGGCACTGCAGCAGCAGTACGCAGAGCAGAGGTGGCAGTCCCTGGAAGAAAGAGGGGTCCTCACGGGGCAGCACCAGGGCCCGAGGTGGGAGGCAGCTGGCATGTCTGTCCCCAAGGTCCCTCTGGTCTCTGCACAACTGCTTCCAGGACAGAAACTGCTGATGCTCAGGCAGTAAACATTATCAATAAATTAGTACAAGAAAAATGGGCACATGGACATTGCAACAAAGCCTGTCAACCAGGAATTTATCAGGATGATTTGAGGAGCTAGAATTTCTATTTTAGATGCAATCAGTATGGTAAGCAATATCCATTAAGATTGGAAACACAAATTAAATGTAAGGAACTGCATTCAGTGGAAAAGAATACAATGTTCATTTAAAGTTTTGATGAACCAATTACTGACATAGAAATTAAAAGTTATTTTTTCTTTTTAAAAAAATATGTTTTTATTGATTTCAGAGGAAGGGGGAGGGAGAGAGATAGAAACATCAATGATGACAGAGAATCATTGATTGACTGCCTCCTGCATGCCCCCCCACTAGGGACCGAGTCCACCACTCAGGCATGTGCCCTTGACCATAATTGAACCAGGAACCCTTCAGTCCGCAGGCCGACACTCTATCCACTGAGCCAAACAGGCTAGGCAAAAGTTATTTTTTCCATATATTTGGAGATACAACAATACAATTACAAACACGTGTTTTCTTTCGTTTTTTTTTTTTTTTAATATATTGATTTTTTTACAGAGAGGAAGGGAGAGAGATAGAGAGCTAGAAACATCGATGAGAGAGAAACATCAACCAGCTCCCTCCTGCACACCCCCCAACGTACATGCCCCTGACCGGAAGCGAACCTGGGACCTTTCAGTCCGCAGACCGACGCTCTACCACGGAGCCAAACCGGTTTCGGCACGTGTTTTCAATTATATGTAAATCATGAATCAGATTCTTGTATGATCCCCACATGAGAAGAAATATCAGGGGGAACATTAAAATGGCACTGTATAGATTTGCATTTCAAAACTGATTTGTATAGTGTTTTGTGTTTTTTGTTGTTGTTGTTGTTCTGAGAATCATCAGCTCTAAATGTACTAAAACTTATGTTTCAAAATAATTTCACAGCCTGTAACATGCTCTGGGGAAATCTGTCATGTTCCCATCACAGAAAGAGCCTTCAGCCTTCTTGAAATTAATAATTGTCTAAATGATTTGCAACTATTACATTTGGCAAGAGTGGCTGGTGTTGCTTTTGATTAGATTACCAAATATGACATTGCTGTGTTTGATGACCTAATTAACAAATCTGCAGAAAAGGAAGCCAGGAAAATCTCAGGATCGATGAAGAGCTCTCATTAACCAGGTGTTACTTATTGCGGTCCATGTAAGTCACACCAGCCGCGTGAGTTTACATTGTGGTCACTCATGTAAGCCCTGTTCTGGTTGATTTGAGGGAAAAGCTTTCTGTTTTAGTCCCATCGTGGCCCCTTTTCCCACCTTGCGGGAAGTCTGCATTCTCGTTTTGTCCTGGGCCCCACAGCGCATTTGGGCTTTGCTCCCTCGCTGTGGCCTGGTGTCTCCTCCTGCCCTGGTGCAGGTGAGCCCCCCGCCCCCCTACTCTGCAGCCAGGGCGGCGGGAGCACGCAGGTGTGCACGGGGGCCCAGACCAGCCCGAAGCTAACAGCCCAGATGGCCACCAGGCTGTGGCTGGTTGGTGGCTGCATCGCTGCCTCTCTGCGCTCGAGTCAGGGGTGAAGCCAGGTGGGGGCGAAGTGTGTGTCCAGCATCCAGTCGAGCATCCCAGGCCCAGCTCCAGCCACCACGTTGTCTAGCACCAGCGCCCAGCACCACCGCAGAACCAGGGACTCACGCAGGGACTGGGTGACCAGCACCCAGCTGGCTGCTGTCCACAAACCAGGCAGCACTTGGTCAATGTAGAGCTGCCCTCAGGACCCTGTCCCTGGCAGTGGAATCCCACAGCCTCTCAGGGGTTCCAAAGTCAGTGTCAGAGGATAGAGGTGCCCTGCTCAGGGACATGAGTACCTGCTTGCATTCCCCTGCTGTCGTGCACCTGTATGAACATATACACTTCCCATCTTCTCTGAGGACGTGTGGAGACTTCAGGTTTCAGGATTACTTTGTGTCCTTTGAAAGTGGTCTCAATCAACAGCCAGCTAGTGACTCAAATGGAAAATTTCAGGTGCAGCTTCCAGTTGTCACCACTGGGTGGCGCTCACCAATTTTTGCCCTGAGGCCATCTACTCCCCACAGTGCCAAGAACAGTCTCAGGTGGCATTCATTAGAGTGCTAACCCTTTTTGTTCAGAGGATGCTCTAGACCCCTGGTAGTGAGCCACATGCGGCTCTTTGGCCCCTTTATGTGGCTTTTTCACAAAATACCACGGCCAGGGCGAGTCTATTTTGAAGAAGTGGTGTTAGAAGAAGTTAGAAAAAGGTGTTAAAAAAATTGGCTCTCAAAATAAATTCCAATCATAGTACTGTTGATATTTGGCTCTGTTGACTAATGAGTTTGCCGACCACTGCTTTAGACTCCCAAATTCACAACCTCTGTGGGCTCAGGCCATCCCACTGGGCCCCGCTCAGCACATCCACACGGCGCTGCGGAAGGGCGGGTTTACAGGCCTCTGTTCTACGTACGTGTCAGGAGGGGGAAGCAGTTCCCACACAAGGTCCCCAAATCCAGTCACGTACCAAGAATCCAAACCCTTCACTTCACATGAACTCCATCTCACAGCACAGTTTCTGTCCAACGTTTGCCCTTGTTTTCCCATATCTTCCCCGCCGGACTGCGGCTTCCAGAGGGACCGCATCACAAGGCCTCAGAGTCACAGCTGCACCGGCTGCCATGTCAGGGAGTCCCAGCACCAGTCGCCTGCTGTCTGGAGAGACTGCCACCGCCAGATGTTTCTCTCTGCTGACATTTTCTCTCTTTTTTTTAAAGTGATCAATCAGTGACTCAAAAGGAGACACTCAGATAATGATTCTCAGGCAACGCCTATAACTGCAGGTGACCCGACTGGGACCCGACTTCTGCGTCATTGTGTTTGTAGGGGAGCAAGCACAATAGTTTGTTGCTGATCTGTGTAATAAAATAATCCAGAAACACAGCAAGAGTATCCTTCTTTTTCTAAAATAATTTTGACATGTTTTTCTTGATTTTTTATTTATTTTTTAAAGTGATCACATAGCATTTCAAATGAAGGCCTGACAGAATTACACTTTGGGGTATGTTTTATAAATGTACCTTCTCTCAGTGTGACTCTCATTAGTAAGTAGTCTCCATCTTACTTGATTTCTAGACCATGCACATGGGACGTTTTTATCACTATTACCTAATAAGTTCCTTCTATTGACCCAGACACAGAGCTGTTAGTTCTCATGTGAAGCCCCTGTGACTTGTCCCTCCTGTGGTCTCACTGTGTGGCTGAGTGACGAATGATCAGCACACGGATGTCAGGCACTGTTATGACTCCACGGCTGCGGTTCCCAGATGGAACTCGCATAGAAGGGCCCCCCCGTGCAGTCCCTTCCCTGCCCTGGACAGGGAAAGAGGGTATTTGGGTGTGGTCGGCTCTCCAGGCCCCAGAACGTCGCGATGGACCAAGAGTTGGATTAACTCTGCTTATAAGACTAACCTGGCCAACTAACTAAATTTTAGTTTAAACTAAGTTGGGGGGAAATTGTTAGCACAAGGCATTCTTTACTTCACAACTCACTGTTGAATGTGCTGATGGCTCTTGAGGAACTGCCTGGTGGACGCTGCCGCCACCAGCACCCTCACCTCACCCCATCCTTCAACCCTGAATCCAGCTCTGGACAAGGACTGCCACTGGACAGGGGTTGGCCGGAGCAGGTTTGCCTCAGGCCAGCCTGCAATGTGTGGGTTCTTGACTTCGTGTCAGAAAGATTTCGAGATACTGGTTCAGATGGGTTTGACGGGATGTGTATTAATGCTGGGCAATGAAACAAAGGAAGAGATTAAGGGAGAAGGAACAACAGGGAGAGCCTAGGTGGTGCTCTCAGTCGGTCCTCTAGAAATGTCGTAGGAGAGAAGTG